ACACGGCTACCATCCACCGGTTTGTCATATGTCCTGGTGCAGAGGCAGAGGCGCTTCACACCCCACGTCAGCTTTGGGGGAGAAACCCCGGTCGAAGACCCCAATTCCTAATTCCACCAACAAGGCAGGAATGGGCCTTTCCGGCGGAAGGAAGGAAGGAAGAGCGAGCTCCGACCTGGAGAGAGAGAGAGAGAGAGAGAGAGAGAGAGAGAGAGTTGCGGTGCCCCAATTGCCAAACGGCGTGCAAGCAAGCAAGACGGCAAGCAAGAGACAGAGAGAGGACAGAAACAAAAATCAGAAGAATCGATATTGGAACAGCAGACCCTGGCGACAAATTCCCAATGGGAGGGACATTCAACGGCAGGTGCGCATTCGCACGCGAGGAAGGTGGCTGGACCGCTGCCTTCTTCAGAGAGAGAGACAGAGAGAGAGGGGACAGAAAGAGAGAGAGCGAGGGATTCGAGCTGACCTGCAGCAACTTGTACACATGGTACCCTCTAGGCCTTCATTATGGCTGGGCCCTAGAAAAACAAAGCAGGCAGCTCGAATATGAAGCCCCACACATACGAGCATGCTTTCACATTTGATGCAAAAAGTCTATGCTTCGGCAACCTCGAGAGTGATGTTGAGCGTCCGAGGCCGCAGTCGATAAGTTTCGTTGTTGTTGACATAGGCCAAGGCGAGCCATGGACCGTTTAATGTTGACTCAGAGGAAGGTAACGAGGCCTGCGGAGTCAACTCTCCGGGGAATGTATCCTTGTTGCCACTGTTTACCCTATTTGGGCTTCAATCGACGAAAGAGGGGGGCTTAGGCCTTCGTAGTCGGAAGATACACGCACTGGTAAAAATCTCCGAACATCACCTAACTACATCCGTCACCCAAGCATTTCAGTCGGGGGACGAAAAGAAAGAAAGAGCCTTCTCAGGCCACTCAACCCAGCGTGCGCATCCGCGCGCGCGGAGGGGCGGCGTTCGCTACTTCCATTCGCTGCGCGGAAGAAGAGCCTTCGCAAGCAAGCAACCAAACAAGCAAGCAAGCAAGCAAGCAAGAGAGAAGAGAGACAGAGCTATTTTGTGAGAGAGACAGAGAGCTATTTTGGCAGGAGATGCTGGCCAAGTACGGAGGCACGAGTTGCTTGCGCAAAATTGGTTGCAGGCCGTATTGATTTCAAGATGCAACATTTCCAAGATGCAACAGGTGGCAAAGCCCGTTTGTGCTGGGAGTCATGGCACCGATTTCTTTGGTCCTTTGCAGGAAACTACACATTGGCGGAGTGGACGCGGGAAGATGTGGAGCGAGAGAAGGACGTGTACTCAAGTTGCACCAACCAAGCCAAAGAAGGCTGCCGCTTAGAACCTTCCCCAAGAAATCACGCAAGGCAGGAAAAGGCCGGAGGCGGCTCAGCTCTGCTTGTCGGATGTGTGAAGGCCTGGGCTTGACACAGCAGTACCTGAAGTTTGCTCGAGCTTTGGAGCTGATGCGGAAGCACGAAGAAGCAGAGGGCCAGCGCTTTGCACTGGTGCTGAGGAGCTTGCATGGAAGACCAAAAAGCAGAGAAGAGAGAAGAGGGGGAGTTGAGACAAACAGACATTGCAGGATTCGACCCGACATCATGTACATTGGCAGCCTGGCCTCGGCTCTGCGATATCGCAGCAGCGGCGGCAGAAAGTCTCACCACACGACATGTCGCCTGCGCGCGCCTTTTCGCTGCGTCTGAGTCTGAGGTCTTGAAGAAGCGACGGCTCCAGTGAATTCCACCGTCCCCTTTGTGCACGAAGCCCAGTCAGAGAGTAGGCTCCGGGTGGATTCTATCGCAATTGTGTCCATGTTGTTCAGGTGTGGTTCAATTGGAGGTGGAGGTGGTGATGCTGTGTTGATGGTGGACAGATCTGCTGCGACTGTCCTGGGCAACGTTTGGCGATCCCTCCGTGGTTGCCGCCTCGAGAGCGTGGATGTTCCTCGAATCAGGGCGGTTAGTCGTGGATAGGTTTCACCTTGAAGGCAGTGTTGTACCTGTCGGCTGTGGTGTTGATTGCGGATCGACACTGTCGAGGACTGCCAGTCTTGGCCTGCAATCTTTGGAGCTTGCCTGGCTCGTCCAAGTCCGCGACACTTGCGCAATCTCGTCCGGGAGCAGTGCGAGCAGCTGGGCTCTTTCAAAGGCGACTCAAGCATCCCCAGCTGTCATGACAGATCATCTCCGAATGCTCTCTATTCTGCGACATTTTTCGTGCGTACCGCTGCAGATCCTAATTATGGTCTTGATGAACCAACTGTGTGCTGCTAGCAAAACTTAGGCACGGGTGGGCTCCGGTGTTTCTGCGTCATGGTGTCCCGTGCCTTGTTTGCATGCTTCCACCTGGCCGCATCTACGTCGCTGCAGTAAGCTTACAGGTAAAAGGAGCAAAAGGCCATACAACTTATAACGCCCGGTTGCATGCGATGTCATAGCCTAGCCTTCGTTTTGAATGAGGAACTCTGACTGTGGCATCAGCGGCATTATTGCGGAGCCTCCCCGTGGGCCCCCCAACAGGTGAGTTTCACCACCAAGATGTGAATACTGCCAGCGGGACATCAACGCCCCTGTTTAGTTGGAAGACATGGTGGAGAAGGTGGCGACGGCAACTTCGCGGATTTGGTTGCCACGTCGGTTCTCATGGAAGTGACGATTCCAGCACCTCGTGGTGAAGATGGCCAGGACATCTGGCAAGGTTGCCCTCCGCCAACGCTGTGGCAATCTGCGCAGCCGCTGAGCAGGGCGGAAACCTACCTGATGAGTCTTTGAAAACTTCTGACGGTGTGCGGAAAGATGCGACAAGAAAAGCTTTCAAAGCTTTCTCGCTGCCGAATCTTGAGGGTTTGTGGATAGCACAGCAGCTGTCCTTTGTGTCCTGGCAGCCCTCTGTAGTTGAACATGCTTCTGTGTTTTCAGCCAGAGCCTATTCGAGGCTTTCCACTGACATGCAAGAGACTCAGCTACAGATACGAAGCAGCCTCAGAACATACCCTAGAGACTCGCATGGCCGGAAAGGGAGCTCTCCTATACCAAGAATGGAGATACGGTGTGAGAAGTTCTTCTGCCGAAGATGAACGTTTCTGAGGCGAGGTTCAAGAAACATTTATAGGGGCACAATGTGCAGCCTCCTTGTGGCCTCCTTGTAGCTGTCACGTATGCTTCGACCGCGCATGCATGCGCTGCAAACCAAGGCAGTTCGATTACGACGGACCTGCCGGGCCTTCGAACGGCGGCCTGTGTCTCAAGAAACCGTTGAGGAGCTGCTGTCACGAGCCTCCCGCGCGCCGTCTGGCGGGAACACGCAGCCCTGGCACATATACGTGCTTTGGTCAAACAGGCATATTCGCAGCCGGAGCCTCCCCTTTAACTCCTGTAAGGATGCTGGCCTGCTAAAGGTGGTACATCGCTAACGGCCCTTACAGCAGAGGTTGCTGCCGGCACAACACACCGGTGGGAAGTTGGATATTTATAGCATGGCTTTTCAGACGGTGTGTCAGTGGGAAGCAGCAATGCTGGAGATCTGAAGCCCGCGCTTACAGCATTGAATCGTCGTGGTTACGGTTGCAGTGTCTCCCACAGTTCCACCTGCATCTGCGAAAGGTAATTGCACGAACAGCAAGACTACGCCGCCAGAAATGGGAAAGACCTGGGCCAACGTGCACAACTTTAACCAAACAGGTATGCTCAGAAGCCCGGCTTGCTTCGAGCAACCTTTCGGCATTCCGCTTGCACTGCCCATTCAGTCCTCGTGCCCATGGAGAATAAGTATCCTGAGAGAATCGACGCTCGGTCTTGGTGAGTGGTAGCAGTCACGGCGTCTTACTGCTCTCGAAGGCAAAGCTAGCAGCTTTGCAGAATCCAGAACAGCAATCGTCGGAAAACCTTTCTAATGCGCAGCTCAGAATGCTGATCAACAGCTTGACGACCGCTCAATCCAACACGCCACACACATACTTGCGCTTTTTGACCGGCTACAAAGCCACAAGGATCGTAGAGGCCCGTCACTGGCCAGGACTAGTCACTAGACTCACTACCAGTCTCGACAGTGGAGTCCGGTCAACAGGATGTCCAAACGCAGGCTGCCCACTCTTCCCAACTAAGGGTCAGCTTTCCGGACTTGAACGTTGCGCGTGTAAGCACCCACGGAGCCTCTCAGGAGTATTGGCAGCATGCAACCCTCGGACTGATCAGTGGCCCCCCACACGGTCCCGCGCTCCCACCTCCAGAGTCGAGGATTACTGGCGCGTCAATGGAAAATACCATTGTGCTTATTCGGGCTCTTTGGCTTCTATTGCCAGAAGAGCACTGAAATTTTATTGAATCTCCAAATATCTCCAAAACAAGTGGCTTTGCCCCGCAGAGAAACGAAGCATCAGCAAAGACTGCAGGGCTGGCCTGCGAAAAATGTGATCCCATTAATAATTCTCGTTCGGGGTGTTGCTGCGCCGGCCCCATACGGGGGAGCTGAAGAAGGAATGAACGACGGCTTCCGTTTATAAGCCATTCAACGAGAAAGCCTAGCTTTCTGAAGGCCTTCAGCTTTTCGAAAAACGCCGCGTTCCGGAAAGCAGCCTCTGATAAATGGAGAGGCCTGGTTCTGAACGCTGCGTTGCTTCTGTAAAGAAGCAAGGAAGCATCAATGATGACTAGTAGCAGCTACCGGCACAGACTGGAGATCCGCGAGCAGCACCAGCCCCAAATTTCTATTTAAGTGAAGTTAAGTGAAGGCCTTCTTCCCCAGACGAAAACCGGGCACAACCGAAAGTCCTCCCGCCGGCTCAGTCCCGGCACGGAACATTCTCCAAACATCGTCCCTTCTTGATTTTCCAGTCATCGGATTAAGACAATAGAGAACAGGTGTCAAGGACTGCAGCGTTGTCGCGTCTTCGGATTTCAGATTTTGGTTCGTGGTTCCCTCGTGTGTCTTTTCGAAGTTGATCACGTGTAGCCAGGCTGTCCCGACAGCTGCAGCAATGCAGGTGTATGCAGGTCTCTGGGAGGGTCTGCATGCCACAGGTCGTGACTGGCTCGAAGCTGCGTTCCTTGACGGATGCAGCTTTGGCGCACCTGCGGGGTGCTGGCAAGCAGCACACCATGCAGGAGGAGTACCATCACTATCCACGCAAGGCCGAAATGCCTTCCGACATGCACAAGGCCTGCAAAAGAAGAGGTGCACTGAAGCATAAGCCGCTGAGCAACGGGCACCGCCTCCTCAGGCGTACATGAGACGGCGCGTGCAGGTGGCCCAAGAGCTGTGGAAGTTGATGGGTGTGGCGAGGGGTGACGCAGCAGGACGCCTTCGAGCGCTGCTGGAGAACTATCGCTTCTGGGGCGCTCCTGTGGGCATGATCGTCACTGTGGATCGTTTCTTCATGCAGCAAGAAGAGCATGAACTGTTCTGAGGCAGAAGTAGGCCGTCGGGTGGGAGGAAGTCTGCAGTGATACTTAGGTGTCGATTTTGTGAGGATCGAGAGTGTTTAGGACAGTTTTGAAGGCTACAACTTGGCCGAGGCTGTTGCGACCGAAATGCTTGGGGACATGCTGGGCTGCTTCTCCAAAACATCGCTCTGCTAGCTGTGGAGCATGGCCTCGCCACCGTGACGCGTCGAATGGGTCTTCTGAGTCCAAACTCCCAACTACCCCCGTTCCGGGCTCTCCCAAAGCAACGCACTTCTAGAAGTCCTGGAGAACCAAAATCCTCGCACAGCATAGAAGCCGCCAGAAGACGTGCCTGGAAGCAATCACAAAGCTTTCCAGGAAGTGCAAGCTGTCAGGCGATGCTGGAAGCCTGGGGAAACCTGGGCAGTTGTGTCTATGATGTGCTCGGCATCTCCTCCGACAGAGAAGTGGTGTGGTTCCGTGCTCAGGTTACATGTAGCTATCAGGCAGGACAGCATAGCAATTTACAGATGTAAGCATAAGGATGCGATGTATATGTACATAGTATCTATATATATATATATAAACGCTTGTGGTTGTCTCTGTGGGTAGGTTGTTCCGGCAGCCTCACAGCTACGTCGGTGCGAGAGGAAAACACACACACATATTATATACTACATATATATATGTATACATATGCCTATACATATACACACATATGGCCAAACATACATTTACACACGCATATATGCATATTTATATATATATATATATATGTGTATATGTATATGTCTATGATTATGTATATGTATATGTATATGTATATGTCTATGTCTATGTATATGTATATGTCTATGTATATGTATATGTCTATGTATATGTCTATGTGTATGTATATGTCTATGTATATGTCTTTGTATCTGTTTGTGTATATGTCTATGTCTATGTATATGTCTATGTATATGTTTATGTATATGTCTATGTATATGTCTATATATATATATGTAAATGTATATGTCTATGTATATGTATATGTATATGTACATGTATATGTATATGTATATGCATATGTATATGCATATGTATATGTTTATGTATATGTATATGTATATGTATGTTTATTATATATATATATATATGTATACACATGTATATACATATATATGTATATTTGTTTATACATACATATATACATACATACATGCTTACATGTTATCTATGCTTGGGCAGCGCGGGAGGGAAAAAGTCATACACACATATGCATATACATACATGTGTATATATATATATACGCATGCATACACTCATCCACACATACACACATACACTTATACACACGTACACGCACATGTCCATCTGTCTCTTTATCTACATCTACCTACCTACCTATCTATCTTTCTCGCCCTCTCTCTCTATATGTATATATGTATATATGTATATATGTATATATGTATATATGTATATATGTATATATGTATATATGTATATATGTATATATGTATATATGTATATATGTGTATATGTATATGTATATATATATATATATGATGCAGGGCTGCCACACCCCCCTCCCCCCCCACCCCATGGTATCCTCCCCCCCTCCCCCCCGCCCCCTGTGGTGTGGGGCCTGTGGTGGTACTCTTTTTGCTGCGACGTTCTTATGTGTTACTCCTTGTCTTCCCTCTTGCTGTGGCACCGATGATACTGCTCAAGATGTTGTGCTGCTCTAGACCGGGACATGAGTCGACAATCAGACCATGCTCAACATCATCCTTGTCGTCGTCATATTCATCCTTTTTACCTTCAAAAGAAAATCTGCCACCATCACCATCGCCATACAACCCTCATAATTCAGCATTGCAATTCATGTCAGATGCTGGAAACTACTGAGCCGATTGCCGCTTTCCGCACCAGGGCATAGTGCGACACTCCCGATCCGCGCACAAGGTCAAGGGGCGGGCAAAGTGCGGGCGGGCCGGGGGGGCGGGCCGGGGTGCAGGGTGGGTGGGCGTGCAGCAGCGGGGGGGGTGGGGGGGGATACCACGGGGGGGGGGGGTGGCGGCCCGGGACCCGAGAGCATATATGTCGGTGTATATGTCTGCACGCATACACAACTTCATGACACACCTGACCTGTTGTGTAGGCATGTGTTTCTCCGGTTGCAGATTTGCAGTGGTGCTTAGCAGGAAGCTTCTGTCATGCCATGAGGGCCGGCCTGAGGGATGGAGATGCGATCATGCTAAGGTGTGGAGTGGCGCTGGGCTACCCTGACAACTCTGCGAACTTGAGCAACGTGCCAACAGACCGGCTGGAAGTGCCGGATTTTTGCCAGTTTCACGGCTTCGTCACTTGGTTCAACTTCAGCACCCGGAGTTCCTGAAGGAAGGTCGCTTTGCAGCATAGTTGATGTTGTTCAGACTCTCTTTGGCCGAACTATCAACCATTAAAGCCGGGCAGAGCTCGCAAAATGGGCTGATATGCCACGCAGCCCGCTACTGCGCGGGCCATATCGACCCTGTGCACTGCCTTGTTCTTTCCTTTGCCTGCGTTCATGTAGCTACGAAACATGTGAGAAAGAGCATCAATAAGCACTGTCTTGATCAGGCCATTCTGTGTTGATGTGCTGTACGTGTGAGGTCATGAACGTGCTTGATTTCTGTTGCCTTTATGGGAGAAGGGCACGCAATGCAAGCCAGGTTTATGGTTGAAGTAACCTTGGCAACATGCAAGAGCTGTACTTGTAGCATGCCCGACCCTGGCTTCCACCTGGGCCAAATCCCAAGAACTGTTCCGTGCGAGAGTTTTCTTGAAGTTGCCCGGTTGTTTATGGATCGCAAGGGAGTGGCAGGGGAATGGTGGGGCATGTCGAAGAGCCAAGTAGGGATTTGAAAGCCGAGCGCGAAGATCTTCTGTCACTCTTCGTTGTGCCATTGCAGCTGTTGCAGCTGAGGTCACCAGCGCCAAACTGTGAGATTGTTGATTACTGCTTGGAAACAATCGTTCGTGCAAGCCATCTGCCCGATGACCATCTGCAAGACCTTACGTCGTGAGGTGCGAACAGCCGCAGACGCATGTCTTCTTGTCTGCTGGCTTCCAGCAATCAGTAGAGTAGAGCAGGCACAGTGCCTGATCTGCAATGTGCGAATCACAGCACGACCGAGCAAAAGTGGAGCGAGCAAGACCTAAGACCGATACTCCCTCGCTGACGTTTCTTCTGTGCATGGGGGCATGGCAGACGAGCCGCCGGAAGAGGCATGCACTTCCGCATCTGGGACATGTGTTCGAGGTTGCACCATGCACTGCCAAGGTGGTGGAGTTTGTTCTCGATGCGCGCTATGGAGAGCAAGAGGCCGTCCAAGAAGCGATTGCAGCCGGTGTGCAGGCAAGGAAGCGGTATTGGAGGGGGCCCATTACGAGGGGAAAAAGGACATCTTCCCTGCTGATCGGTTTCTGGCCGTGGTCATAACCGCAGCTGTGTTGTGGTTGTGGTTGTGTGTGTGTGTGTGTATTTGTTTGTATGTCGCTGTCGCCAGCACAACAACGAGGACATTGCATGTGCGGATGCAGTGAAGGACGCTTCACGGCCAGTCCGCATGAAACCGTCACAGCAAGCAGCCTAAGCCCCAAACCAGGCAAGCCGAACCAGTGAAGAGAAAATGGTGCTTGCGGCCCGGTCGAGGTTTACGGCCCGTTATTCGACATCCAGACATCTTTGTGTTCTTGACATGGCTGCGAATGAACGTGCAAGTGGGCGTGTGCTGTGTGGATTTGACACAGATGCCTGCCGGCTTCCAGGCTCTGAAGGTAAAAATGCACCCTACAGTACAGTCGGCAGTTGAAGATGCAGAAGCGTTGCTGCGCGAAATCAATTGGCCCGTCGAGCGGAGTGCAGACTCAGCTTCTCACTTACCTTCTAGGTACTTCTAGTCTCCCCTTCTTCGCCTGTCCAGGTGAATGCTCGCAGTCACGGCGGGTCAACTGCACTGTTTATGGCGAGTGCAAACGGGCACACGGGCATCGTGCGTTCCTTGGCCTAAGCCGCTAGTAGGTCCCCCGAACTCTGCGCAGTTTTTCCCTCAGTAACAGTACCTCGACGGGGCCAGATGCCACGTCTCGGCCTAGGCGAGCTGCTGCAGGCGCGTGCATCGGCAGACTTGGCGAACGATGCTGGCAACTGTCCCTTGCACTGGGCGTCGGCCTGAGTCCCGACCGGCAGCGGTATTGCAGACAGACGTATGGTGAAAGCTGGATGGCAGGCGGCACTAAATGGGCATTTGGAGGTTGTGAAGATGCTCATAGCAGCTCGTGCCAACGCCAATCTGAAGAACGAGTTTCAGAAAAGGTGTGGGTCAAGTGATTGACTGAGAGCGAGGAGCATGTAACTTGCTCAACACAGGCCCTTCGATGAAGCCTTCAGCAGGAGCCGCTTATGATATCATGCTCGGAGGAACCTTGCGCATTTTGAGTTGAGGAGCCACGCCGAGATTTGTGAGGCACTCGCGACCATCACATCGTTTGAAGACGACGTGCCCGCAGATGCCGAGATGAGGGCCGGTGGTGTCTGTGAGTGCTTAATATATGCATGGTGAGGGTAACTACGAGTGGTGGACCCTTCCGGATGCTAGGAGGCGGAAGATGCAGAGGCGAGCGAAACAACCCGTGACAGACCGCCGAAGAATCAGCTGGAGGCTGCTGCCAAGGCTGCTTGATGTGCAAAGGGCAAAAGAGAGCCAACTGTGACCCAGAGCTAGGAACACCCCAGCATTCTCGGTATGGGCAATCCGCTCCTGGACATATCGGCAGTGGTGCCAGAGGACGGTTTGCCGAAGATGTCATAGTCTCGGTTCCCAGCCCAGCAATAAGAGGCCGCCATGTAGAGAGCTTGCCAGGAGACGTTTGTCAGATACGACCTTGTTCGTGGCAGTGCTATTCTGGCCGAGATGAAGCATGACCAGCTCTTTGAGGAGCTTGCTTCCTTACCAAATGTGCCCGAGCAAAGAAGCAGTCCCGTGGTCTGGCCTAGGCGTGCCTGCGCGTAGAACTCAGGTACAATTCCTCGCTGGTGGCGCGACCCTGAATTCCATCCGTGTGGCACAGTGGCTTCTCCAGGCCTCCTTCCTGGACGGTAATCCGTTAACATGAAAGTGACAGCCCGAGAGCGAGGAGCCAGGCATGACTGCTTACATGGGATGTATTGGAGCCGATGATTTCGGCGAACGGCTGGCAAGCGAGTGCAAGTCGGCAGGCGTCGCTGCGAGGCCCACTATCTTCGACAAGTCTGCGAGTGTCTGATGTTGCCAATTGCTGTTGTTCTCCCGAAAGGTTCTTAGTCGACAATGATGCGCCAACGGGCACCTGTGCAGTCACAATCTTGGATGCGGAGCGTTCCCTCACGACTCGACTCGGTGCGGCCAACAAGTACAAGCTCGACCATGTGAAGGATCCGGAGTGCGCCCACTGCATTTGGTGTCCTTTCCCCGTATCGCGAAACAATCTGCCAACCTGATAACGACATGGCTACTGTCGAACCATACAAGGACCAACGTTGATCGCATCTGAGTTGCATTACAATGCATTCGATTCCTTCGCAAAGGAATTTCGCCGTGCTCAAGTCTGCACGAATAGCTCCTTGGTTGAAAGTGCCGTGTCGGCCATGAAGCGTGTAGTGAAGCAGCCCAATTGTCAGCATCTCTCCTCGTTTTGCATGGCCTGACGCCAAGATCTATAGCGCGGGCTTCTTCATCACAGTGTCGCCTGAGACCATCGACCTTGCATCACGAGTGAATCGGCTGACAGTTGTCGCACTCGTTAGTAATCCCTCAAGGGATTATAAGCCTCCGATAGCTTATGTCGGAAGCTTATGTCTGTGGCCAGCCACCGCTTCAAATCGTGTAAGGTCGCCGAAATGTCTGGTTCAATCTATTGCCTCAACCTGTCTGCAGCGTTCATCGTTCAAGTCCCAGCCTATCGAGCTGTCTTGGAGAAATCGTTGCCGCACTGTGACTTTCTCTTCGGCAACGAGACAGTGTCTAGGCCGATGGGTTGAGCAGCGACGGAGCTTGGACACAACTGAGAGCTTGCCGGTGCACCAAGGAGGCGCAAGCGTATGCAGAAGCAGCTGGCTGGGACTCCGCGGATGTGGCTTTCATAGCCACCAGACTGTCCCCTGCACTGCAATGGCTCAGACTCAGCCACTGCGTCGAATCGCGACTTCGCGCGCGTCTGGACCAGGTCTTTGGTGCCTATGAGCGGAAAGAAGCCACATCGCAAGGTTGTGATCACACAAGGCATCCCGTCTTTCATGCTTTGGATCTGCTTTGTTTCATATTCCGTGCACTCTTCCTGCCTTCTTCATTCGAAGGGCAGACTTTCATCCTGCGGTTGCCGCATTTGCGAGCAAGATTGGCATGTCGGAGCTCAGTCTGTCAACAAGCGGTCTTCTATATAAAAGAGAGAGATGCTGCTATGGGCAAGTACCGCTGATTTGAAAGTATACATAAGACTTTGGTGAATTAGCTTACTGAAATGCTGCCGCAAGCAGCAGTCGGTTTGAAGAGGAGCCGAACCCATTGTGGTGGCTGAGCGGGGTCACGTGAGCTACCACCCAGTTCCGCAACTGCCACCTGAAAAGACTCTTGAAGAAAGGAAGACTTTGCGCTCGAGTTGTGTGGATGCAACAATGCATCTAGTAATGAATCCTGCAACCAAGTAGGAGACGGCACATGGCCTCAGGATTGTCGACACCAATGGTGCTGGTGATGCCTTCGTTGGCGGTTTTCTTGCAGCACTCGCTCGTGGACGAAGCCTACCTGATTGCTGCGAGGACCTGGGTTAAGAGCGAGATGCTCGTAAGAGCGACGTGACGTGTGCGGCTTGCAGACCGGCGCCTATGCAGCTGCAACGGTGATCCAGCACTCCGGCTGCACCTTTCCGCCGGAGCCATCTCGCAGACCCTAGGCCTTGAAAGGCTCAGAGCGGTTCAAAAAGAGTGTCTTCTGTCTTCTCTCTGTGCTGAGACACAGAAACGCCGCAGTCAACGCCAGGGTATGAGTCGAAGCCCTGGCAGATACAGCCCAAGCTTCCTCGAGAGTGGATCAAGTCGCACAGCTTGTTTTGCCAGGGTTTTCGTAGCAAAGACTCTTCCGTACTTGCAGTCGTGCCGATGATCCGCATGCACCGCATAACGCACGCAAGCAACCAGAGTAGCGATGGCACTGCGCGGTGGCAGATCCATCATGCAGTCAGATGGAAGTGACATTTCAGAAGACGAGGACCGAGGGCTTCAAACGCAACGCTAGGCCTGCTAGGCTCCTGGACGGGTCGAAATCTCCTTCTCTTTTTCTGTGGCTCTATCAGACCGTCGGATGTGCTCCGCTAACCAGCTGCAAAAGTCTGGGACTGGTAGGCACAGAAAGCATCGGTTGGCTTCCGAATTGAACGGCTCCACACCAAGGGTTTGTGACTCCTGAGGTGCTGGTCGGGCTACTTGTACCTTGCTGAGTCTTATGCTTGCCATTGCGCTCTCTCTGTAGGTGTAGCTCGCCCTTTGTCTTTCTCTCACGAGCCCTGTGTGGGCACCTGCATCCTGTTCTGTTGCATTGAAGTCTTTGGAGTCTTTCTTCGCATCCTGTCTTGGCCAAGAACATCGCCACTTCTACCCAGTTTTTCGATGCTCAGATTTGCCTACGAAAGCCTTCAAGACCCCAGAGTGCTGAGGAACCCACCGACTTGGATCTTGAGATGCAAGGGCTTTGCATTATCCGGCCGGCAGGAAGCCATCCTAAAACTGTGCAGCCCTACCCTATAGGCAATCACTCTCCTTCTCTTTGCATGTTTTCAGAAGTACACGGCCATAAGCTGTGGCAGTCATCAAGTGAACGAAGGGACAGAAACCGAAGGAACATGCGGAGAAGTTTTGGCGGTAGATTGCTTGCTGCTCATGTTGCCAGCAAGGCTCCGGTACATGTGGCATTGCAATGTTTGGCTGTGGCATCTGCAGGTGGCAGTTCGTTGGAGGGCTTCTTTTGAAACTTCTGCAGGAGAGTGCCTCCTCGGTTGAGATTGGTGTCGGTCGAGGATACGGAGGCACCGGGACAGAGAAGAATTCGTTAAGGCTGCTGGAAGTCAAAAAAAGGAAATCGGCCGCATGCATACGAATAGACATACTGTATATGTACATGCATACGTACATATACATACATAAGTAAAGATTATGGACACGTGCACACGCTCACATAAACGCACGCGTTGCAGGAATATATATATATATATATATAGATATATATTATACATTATATAGTATACAATATATTCTATGTAACACACGCACACACACACACACATATATATATATATATATGGTCTATATATATATATATATATTGTATGCCTTATAATATACATATATATATATATATATACATATAATACATACATACATATATATATATATGATATGTCTGTTCATATATATATATATATAGATATATACATAGTATACATACCTAAAGAGATACATAGCTAATATGCTGACAAGAACTGTCAGAGTCATCACCAGTATCGGTACAATATGCTTGCATACGCGTAAAGTTGACGATCCTTGTCACGAAAGCAAGCGAAGACAAAGCCCGGCTAGATTTCAAGCATGTCGTGATGGGTGGAAGTAGGCATGCAGTCCCCTTGCTCAATGGCCTTGAAGATGAAACAGCCAGAGACAGTGGATTTGTAGATCATGGCGGTACGATTCTTACGTTTGTCGTCAAACGGGTTCGTGCTGGTTCCGCCGCCTACCGACAACAATGCATGCGACTGTGCGCGAGGCGCAAGGATGGACGATCGGAGAGGGGGTGCGAGCTCCTTGCCTTCCTGCAGAGTCCGAATTCTCGCCTGCCTGCGACATAGGTGTGAACAAGATGCCTGCTCAAGCCGCCAGGCATGTTCGGTGGTGACAGTTACGACTTCCCTATTGATTTCAACCAGATGCCGACAGCCGGCACTTTGAATCTGGACAGCAGGGGCCCGAAACTCAGCCTGCAACTGGGTTCGGGTGTCTATGTTCAGTCAGTGCAGGACACAGGCATGTTTCGTTTGACCTTGGTGTGTTTGGGGAAATCATCGTTCATGTTGACCGCCTTCTTGGGCCTTGAGACTCGGAGCCTCATGTCGCGTTGAAAATGCGTGGCCGGAGCCGCTGACACCTCTGTTGACTTCGACTGGCTTTTATTGTAATGTAGATGGATGGCTGATTGTCGAAATCACAGCGACTGACTTATCCTTTGGACAGCATTGCATGACGCTTTGCTTGCAGCCCTCACTTAAGTCAGCGTATGGATGCTGCTACTGCGTGTGAACGTACTCGTATGCGACTTGTCTCCCTGCCTGCTGTAGTGCCTCGCTCAGCAATGCACGAAACAACCAGAAAGCTGCAGAGTTGGACTCGAAAAAGCATCGAAATTCTTACGGTGCTGTGCATGTGATAAACGGCGCCCGAAGAGACTGGTCCCCGACATTCAGGCGTGCAAGCGGACAATAACAGGCATGCGAGGAAGCTGATATTGGTAATGGCACGAGGTAGGTTCTGAGTCCTGATATAGCGGTGTCACAACACGCGCCATGCTCCTCTTCTTGGTTGGTTCATTGGTTCGGGTTAACGCATGGCAGGTGCTGGAACTCAGCGTTCCACTGCGAAAAATGCTTCGCCTGGCTCTGAGCTGCAGGCTTTTGCGCGGAACTGGCTTTCTGTGCGCAGCACTGAGCACAGCATCTCGTAGAACGAATCGCACTGGGCAGAACGCTGCTGTGTGGCACAGCGAGCATCTGCACAAGGATAAGGTGGCGAATGCTGTGTGCATTGCACACCATGGTCCGTAAAAGCAAGCTCGGGGTCCGTGTTGGGGATTCTTCCCTGCTGGCTTGCGGTGAGGTGGGGAGGGTCTAATCTGTCGATGCTCTCCTCACCTCACTTCACCTCCGTAACAGCAAGGAACTTTGCGGGATGCTTTGCTGTGTAGACCCTGAGCTGCCAACGCATGTGCAAGTGCAAACTCAAGAAGGCATGCCCTGTTTCATGTTGCATGATGTTCGCCTCACCCGCGACTGTGAGGTCGAAGCCGAAGGCTAAAGCAAAGACGCAGGTTTCAGCGGCACCAAAGATGGCAGGCACATGGCTTTTGCAAAACTGCGAAGCAACAGACCAATGCCCTCCTCTCACTGGATGTTGCCAAGTTGAGTTGGGTCCTTTTCGTCGCACCTGTTGCTTTTGCGGTGCATTCGTGTATGTGTGTCGTGTGTCGTCGGAGTCGTGGGCGCAGGCGCCACTGTGCGACGGACCGCGCTCGGAGGTGGACTCGACGACTTGAGCAGGCGAAAGGGGGATCCGAATGGGGTGAGGAGAGCTACTTGTAACGGGCTGACGAGTACTGTACGGGCAAGTACGGGTGAGTCGGATAATCCGGTGCTGAACAGCCCTCGCGGCATGGAGAGACCGGTGATAGGATATGCGGATAGGCTGCGGTGGGTGTTTGAAGCATGCTACTGGCTGCTCCAGTTGTCTTGACCCATGCCGACCCAGGAAGCTTGAAATGTTTGTCATAACAGAATCGGAGCTGAAGTCCTGCTGCTTCTCGCTCGCGCAGGTTTGGAATCGGCTCACGAGCAAGTCCACAGCCAAAGAGCACGAAGCGCGATGATGCCATGGACTTTCAAAAGTTTCTGGAGGTCAGAGTGCAACGGTGTATTGTCTGCTTGACTCTGCTTGTACCAGTTGTGCCTTCAGCTTGCCACGCTTTCAGGAGAGTGATAGTGACGAGGAATCGTCAAAGCGGCCAGCATCACGATCCCGTGCTGCGCCCTCCCAAAATCCACAAGGAGATGCATCATCGGACAGCCCCCCAAGCTCACCGGCTGCCAAGCCGGCAGTCCTTGCCAGGTCCCCTGCCAAAGTTGCACAACTGGCGAGCGAGAAACCCAGAGACACCGTACCTTCAAGGCCCAGCAACATCACCTCCGACTCACCCTCACCCACAAGCCCACGAAGCGGCAGCGGCAGTGGCAGCCGCAGTGGCAGCCGCAGTGGCAGCCCTGTGGCAGCACTGCCACGTTCTCCGCACTCTGCCTCACACTCGGTTCAATCCTCAGCATCCGCGAAGTCCAACTCCAAAAAGGCACAGCCCCGTGCAAGCTTGCAATCACGGTCCCAGTCGCATTCGCCCTCCAGTTCGCCTGTGCCGCGATCTCGCTCACCGTCTCCGGCTCCCGTATCCACAGAGAGCGAGTCATCCGCGCCTGTTGAGAGTGGCAGCGTGTTCGGCAACATCCGACCCATGAGCGATTTGGTGGCCGCGACACCAAAAACGGCTTCGACCCAGAACTCCGTCGGAGTGCTCGGTGGAGGACAGGAGCCTTGCCATTGGGCTTTGCGGCTTTGCGAAGCTGGAGCACGACTACTTTCCAGGACAGCGAACCGCAACGACTGCCTTCAGCGCGCAGGCATCGCATCAAAGTGGGCAGACTCGTGAAGTTGCATCAGCTTTCATCTTGCTGATGTGCTAGGCTTCCACAACATCCCAGCCAAAAACTGCGACACAGGGTGCTGCAATTGGAGCTGATGCTTTTCTCAAGCATCCTTAGATTCAGCCACTCGTGAGATGGGCTCGTCTCCGACGCACCGCGATGAAAAACTAGCCGAGGAAGTCGCATCCCCGGAAAGCACGGCCGCAAAGCGGGCATCGATGCACTACGAGGAGGACTTCGAGGTGCTCGATCCTGCCACGATTCTTTGCTCAGGATGCAGGTGTTGTCTGTTGCTCTTGCTCTCACTTGATCAGGCCTCCAGCACAGGCAGTGCTTTGGTCCAGACGCCAAGAGCAGCGCCAGTGCGGACACCAGCGGCCGTCACTGTGGCACCTAGCACCACTGCAACTGCTGCTCCCACGATAGAGAGAGCCTCTGCACCGGCAACGGTGCCGTCTGCAGCTGCGTTCGTGAGGACGGTCATGTACCAGCTTCCGTTCGCAATGCAGTTAGTGATTGATCACAGGACGGAGCCAAAGTCGCAGACCTACCAGGACCATGGTTTGGAGAGGGTTGGAGCTGTGCTGGCACCTCTTCCACCAGAGATTGCGACTGCAGGAACCTTCTCGGGATACGCAGGAAGATCGTGGGATGCCTCTCAGGCAAGCCGGTGGTGGGGTTTGCGGCAGCTTCCTAAACCGTCGTAACGAGAGAAGTCTTTCATGGTGCAATACGTTCCAATCGATGCCAAGGCGATCCACACGAGATGTGCAAGTTCAGGTGCGGTTGTGCCTGGGTTGTCATGAATCTGCTGCACGGAGTCAGGGCAGTCCGAAACTAGGCCGAGTTGATGACACAGCAACGCGAAAGGCCAGCATACCTGTGGACGTTGGAGTTCAGTGCGACTTGCTCGATGTTCCCCGAGCCCCAGGCGCCTGGCCAAAAGGTTTCAGGTACAAGTGATCGTTGACCGTCGTACTGGTAGTAGCTGGATAAGCCTTTGCGGGGTATGTTGTTTGTCCACCACATGTCGATAATTGCTCATGTCAGTTCACGTTTTCCAGGCTGGGCAACATCAGCGTCAGCAGCGCCTTGGGGATTCTCACCTTGGGAGCAGGCAGGAGAAGCCTAGATTTCCATTCAATGCTTCTGCAGACATGAATATGTTTCCATGCCAGGCGCTGTCCGCAGGATATCCGCATGCTGGTCTACCGGCCGGGTTTGGCCCGTACGGCATGATGCCGATGGCACCTCCGGGCTATTTTCCCTGGACACCGCTGCCATGGCCCCAGCGAGGGAAGTCTGCATATAGTGCTTCGGATTTCACTGGGTGCAGGCAAGGCACAGGCTTCCCCTTCGTGGCGCCGTGGAGCAAGGCGCGGGAACTGGAACGGCAGAGATCGGTATCTATGTACGTATGTATGCACGAACCCACGTACGTACCTACGTACGTACGTATGTATGTATGTATGTACGTAGAGACATATGCATAAATCATGTGTGTATGCATGCTTGTAAGTATTTATACATGCATGTATGATCGCACATACGCCTGCATATGCATGCATCTGTATGCGTGTGTGTGTGTGTGTGTATTTACTTATGCATGTATCCTGGTATGTATGTACATATGCATGCATGTATGTAGGGTTGTATGTATTATTTATGTATTCATGTATGTATTTATGCATGCATGCATGCATGCATGCAAGTAGGAATGTATACACACACACACGCGCATTTATGCACGTATTGCGTGTGTGCATGTATGCATGTATGCATGTCTGCATGTGGATGCCCCAGGCAGGACCTACCGGGGCCCCGCCTCCAGAGCCAACTTCAGATATTGGCCCCGGTGCACCGCCCGCTGCACCACCAGCGGCTTTGTGCCGCGCCGAGAAATCGTGGTCGTCATCCGCCATGAGTGGATACTGTACATTTGCTTAGGTGGGCAATGCGGATGGTGGACGACTCCTTCAAGGACCAGATTGAGCTCCTTCGGCAGGTGCGGATTCCCTGCAGTGGGAACAAATGCAACGCGGAAGGTTACGCAAGTGCAGCGGAAACACACATCAGACCCCAGCCAGGCACCATAGAGTCCACGGAACTTTCCCGAAACCCGTCAATGCTCGTTGGAAAGGGAAAGGACAGATTCTGGAAGGTGCCCGATGCAGCATGGCACGGCTATAAAGATGTCATAGAGGCAAACAGGGCCTTCAGGTTAGGCCGCTTGCTTGCAAACGTTTAACGGTGTTCGGCCCAGAGCCCTCTACAGTCCCACGGCAAAGCCATGAGGGGGGGGGGCCGCGCGGATTGGATGTGTCCACAGCCCGGAATCTGCTAGTCAGTTACAAGCAGGCTACAAGGCACGGGACAGTTCTAGCATGGAAAGGCCATCTTGACAAGTGCACGGGGGATGAAGCTCGAGCAACTGGACAGTTTTGCCACGTGTGCTTAGCTGGGAGGCAGCTCAACGACATCGCAGCCTCTTGCAGAAGGGCCGGGGGCCTCTGGGAGAGGTTGTAGGGAGATCGGGAGACGAAGTCGGCGCCGCCTGACCTCTCTTGAGCCTGGGAATTGCAGCTGCATGCGACAATGCGACGCGACGTTAAAAGCAGGCACGAGGGGGTTTGTCACAGGGAAGGATGGAGTTCAAAAGGCATGCATGCTCACAGGTCGAGTGGGAAACGCCGGGTTGCTTTGTGCATCTCTTGGAGCTCCAATCGATCGCCGTACTCACCTTCCAAGAAGCTTTTCCAAACGGTTTGCGTGATATTGTCGCAAGCATTGGGTGCCCTGCCGTAAGTTCAGGTTTCGCAGCGATTTCTCACACGGTGTGTCCTTCAAGAAGATGGCCAAGAGTCAGAAGGCAAGAAACATTACCAACACTCAAGAAGAGCTTTTATCATGTTCTTCGACATGTAGGAGGCTCGTAGAGGCAGGGAGGGCGATAAGAAACAAGGAAGGAATGCGACTTTTGTGCCAAGACGCCTGCAGTGCCACGGCACGAGGGCTTCAATCCAGCCTTCAGGCAGATCCAGCAGTCAGTATTCAAGCTGCATCTTGTGCTGAAGCCTGCGGTGCAAGTGTGATGCTGTGGGGCCGTGGGTTATTTGGCTCAAGACACGGGCAATGGCGGCAGCGGGCTCTCTGCGAAGCAGGCCCTTGCGTCGCCATGCTCAGGCCGCACGCAATACGCAATGCTGGTGTTTTGGGCATTTCTTGCAGCTCCGAACTGCAGGACAACCGCTGCACCAAAGGGTGGGTGTGAAGTTCGGACCAAACGATTTGCGTGACAGGCCTCCGGTGCTATGGTGCAACACGTCGTTGGCACAGTATGACTTACTTGTTTACTTGTCCTCTTGCAAGCCGAAATCGAAAGTTCTTTGCTCGATGGCCAAGGAATAGCGTGAGCCCGCCGGAAGCCTCAGAAGCCTCGGAACCCTGAAGGCCTGACATGCTGGCAGAGCGACAGGCACTCAAGTGTGCATCGGGCCAGGATGTCCAGAACACTGTCCAAATCCTTGCCTTTATCGGGAGATGCTTGTCAGCACGTTTCCTCTTCATGTCTCGGAACCCTGGACTCTTCAGCTTGGCACGAAGGTCAGCCTCTCTTCAGGCCCTCCGAGTCCTAAATCGCCAAGGTCCCCAAAGCCAGATGCTCGACCTGCAATATTTTGGAAATGCACGCTCAAACTTCCGAACATTTCCGAAGCACCGCTGAGAAGGACACCAAAGTGACATGGCCACGGAGGAAGACAGTGCAGCGCTTGCAAGGCAGGGCTGTGTCTCATCATTCCGGAAAGGTAGGGAGTGCAGTGCCCTATTGGCGGGCCCAAGATCATCGCAAAACGTATGCTTGCAGGAAATGCGAGGGCCGTGGTCTGCGCAGGCAGACTGCACAAGGCAGCACCCGCTCGTACCAAGTCCGACCACTCCCGCCTCGTCGCTTCGATCCATGGCGTCGGATGAAGGCTTCTCCAGTCGTCGATCATGCAGAAGTTCCCGATCGAGTGTTGGGTTCTCTAAAGAACTTTGCTCCTTGTCCGAATAAGTGATTCAGCTAGGACGACCATCGCCGATGACCGTTCAAGCTGCAATCGGCCACGTTCGCTGTAACCTCTTGGCGCAACAATGATCGCCCCTTCAGGTTCCGGAAGACTTCCTGACCAGCTTCAAGGATTGGCGACTGGCCGGCAAGCAGACACGGAAATGCTGCTACACCTCTGCCGTTGTTCTCGCAAGTGTCGTGTCTTGGTGCCTGTGCCGACAAATGCCCAGTGCTTCGGCTGACGATTACTTCTACTTACAGGGTCGAGTGTGGCAGTAGTAAGATAAGTGGTTCATCGCCCTTCGGGAAGTTGTGCGGGGTCTTGTAGTGCACGTGTGCACGTAATGACACGGCTGCGACCGCTTCCGCAGCCGCGCAAGCTAGGGTTGGGCAGGGGGGGTGCCTGCCTTTTGAAAGCCATGCCAACTCCCCGCTTCGTGCCATGGCCGTTGCGCGGCAGCTGTCAACAACGGTGCTCGAGCATGCCAAGCTGATCCCGGGCGGTGTCTTCGACGTTTGCCTGACCCCTTGCTCATCGGTGGAGCTCGCGTTCCATCCCTCTTCATGAACGTCCTCGAATGAGATACTTGGGTGAAGTGTTGTGAATACTAGTAGCTTAGTGGAGGTAGGCAGATGCCTGTCTGCTTGGCTGGTCTCTCGCAATTGCCAACCGTGTGCTGGCAGTGCCGAAAGTTTTGCGTGACGCAGTAGCTGTGAGAGGGACGGTTGGATTAGGTGCGTTCTTCAAGTTGTCTGGTGTGCATGAGTGGGCTACTGTATGTTGTGCCGGCCAGCAGGTGCATCTTCAGCAGTGTCGTCAGGCAAGCAGAGAACATCGGTCGGTCAGGAAACCTTAGCACCGCTCGCCATGGACACCAACTATCAGAACACGTTCGCAGGATTTGTGAAAGCAGCCCTGGATGCCGGGCTCAGTGCCGTCACAATCGAGGAATTTGAGAAAGCAGGGGTCATGTCGCTTGCCGAGCTCAAGGTTGCTTGGATGGCGAGCGACCAGAGATCAGACTTTACAACCAATGCAGAGGCAATCATGATTGTCGCGTTTGGGAAGCAGTTCGTGGGCTCCGTGGCGCAACGACATTCCGATGGTGCCAAAGATGGAGATGTGCATAGGCCACGAAAGCAGCTGCGTGAAGACATGCCGCGTCCCCAGCCGTCAGCAGGGGGATCTTTGCAGCGTGCGCTTGCAGCCTTACAGCCTGAAAACCAAGAGAACACCATGGCCAAGTACAAGAGAGACATCTGGGCCAACAGTGCGAGGGCATCCCAAGGTGCTCGTCTTCGCACTTTAGAGTCGTTGGCAGCCGCGTGGAAGATCAGCCTCACGCCTGTGACCAAGGATGTCGTGCATCAGATCGCGGCCGGCCTCAAAGCTGGGGGGTACCGGTCAGCCCGACAGTATTTGAGCCGCCTGCGTAGAGCTCATGTTGAAGCAACTCGCACCGCTCTCTCAACCGAGGCTGAGTTAGCTTTGAAGGATGCTATTCGTTCGGTGGAGCGAGGTATAGGCGGCACGCCGCTAAAGGATCCCTTCCAGTTGGAGAGTCTCTTCCTGGAGCTAGAAAGATGCGGAAACCTCGAGCAGGCCATCGTGGTGCTCGGATCCCGGTTCCTAATGCGAGAAATCGAGTTAGCCGCACTCCGTCGAGGCCATCTCATCATCGACCACGACAAGCAACAGGTCTCGTTGACCTTGTGGGCTTCCAAGACCGACACGGTGGGGAGCTTGGTTACCAGGACACATAGATGCTGCTGTGGAGTGTTGCACGCCGGAATTTGTCCGTATCATACCGCCGCCGTTTTCATCAAGAACTTCAAAGGAGACCTTGACGACCCGCTCTTCGCGAAAGTTCCAGGAGTGGAGTTGGAGAAGAACGAAACCGTGGAAATCATTAGGCGTGTGTTACGCAAGCATGGCGTAGCACTGACCAGGCCGGGACCGCACGGGTCAGGCCAGGTGCAGCGTTTCGGTGGGCATGTACTCCGTGTGGCTGGCTCGCAGTTTCTGACCCGTCTCCAGGTCCCACTGCCGACGGTGATGCTCATTGGCCGCTGGGGTAGTAGGGCAATTGAGCGTACGTGCAAGATGCTGCTCTGGACAGCTTTGACATTGTCGTGAAGAAGCCTCAACCGCTGTGCCAAGACAGCGGCCGAGATGGCAGCAGCGGTGGAAGTAGCGCACCTAGTGATCACATCATCAAGGAGTTGCGTGAACAAGTGAAGAAGCTGGCCCAGTCTGTCGAGGAGATGCAAAGGCGCCCAGCATTCATTGCAGCAAAGAAGGTGCACTGCAGAGATGAGAACGAGGTCAACAGACTCCCGCTGCAGTGGCGAGCCCAAGGTTGCGGTTGGCCCTATGGAGCATCAACCTTCACTCGGTGTGCCAGTACGGACGGTTGGATGAAGTGCAAGCGTTGCTTCCCCGAAGATATCTTCGTGGACCCAGAAGTCACCGAAGATGAGTCATCGAGCGAGTCTGGAGCCGTGAGCACCAGCTCTTCCAACTCATCGGCATCGAGCAAAGCAAACTAGAAGCCCGCGCGTGGCAAATAAGCAAGTCACTAGCCGTGTCAGGCAGTGCCGCTAAGCCCACCCGTGCTAGGGTGGTGAGCTGTCGAGAGCAGACTTGGGGCAGTCGCGCTGACCGCCTATCGGGCAAGAAAATCCATGCAGGATTCAGCTTGAGCTAATGAAGCTAATGCTTACAGAGGCTATCTCTGAACAGCTGCGTGGTATGCATGCTGGGTACTTGCTTTATAACGGTGGATGCAGTTGAGCACATTAGACACGTTTGCAAGGTGGCAGCAGTCTGTGCATTGTTCGGCAGCGCGTGTTTTGTGGAGGACATATAACGGCTGCGGTCGCACGAACCAGCAGCATCGAATTTATAACTCGCTAAATGCGGCCTGATTTTTACCTGATTCGTGCTTGTGAATTTGAGGAATCTGCGTGTTGCAATAGGAACATTCGCAGTCTTTCTTGTGTGCGTGGAGCCGTTGCAGAGCGTTACAGTCCTATCCACGTCAGCCTGTGTCAGTTGTTCTTCGTGGTGGATTTGGGCCCGCGCGAACGTTGAGTAGCTGCAAGGGATAGACCGCCGTTGATATCCTGTGACACCCACAGCCATGTCAGTCAGGGGAGACTTTCAGAAGCTGATGGAGGACGCAGGCTTGTCCGACGACATCCAGCAGTATCTCAAGGTGAGGGGCATCAATTCGACAGCGCTCTTTGCAGCTTTAGCCGACAAACCTGAGGAGCTCCACGATGCCATCGTTGCGCCCTTGCTGACAGGCTTCGAAGTGGGGGCCAGCCAAATCGTGAAGGTCGACCCGCTGGATCTTCCAATCGTGCGAGCCAAGTTCAGAGTGCTCTGGCGCGAGTGCGTCAAAGTCGAAGGCATGGCGCCTGCCCCCTGTGCAACACTGACAGGGGCGACAGCGATGACGGGCTCTGCAACGTCTTCTTCGGGCTCCTCCAAGAGTTCCAAGGAACTACCTCCTGGATGGTGGCAGCAGAAGATCGCCCAGTACGAAGCAGTGGTCGTTGCCGGCGAGTGCAGGACATTCCCTCAAGAAGTTCTCCTAGGCGCTGAGTCTGTGCTGGCCAGATTGGTTCACGAGATGAAGACTATGCAGCATACGGCTGTTGGCTTGCAAGAGTTTGTGCAGGCCCGCTTCTTCAACGCGGGCGGGGAGCCGAATTCCCTCAATTCGGCGCGAAAGAAAAACAGGCAAGGCCTCACGGTCCTGACCGTCAATGAGGAGAACCAACTGGAAGCCGAGCCGGAGACGCCGTGGCATCCGCGCAGCGTGCTGGCCTTCATTGATTGCCTCGAGTCCATCCGCTACGCGTACTTGTTAGTGGGCATTGGGAGTGAGCAGGCCATCGCGTCCTACATAGATTGGTGGGTCAAACAAGTTCGCAACCGTCCACAGAAGCTGGAGCAGCTACGCTTGTATTGGGAAGCCACGTCGTGGAGAGTGGCCATCGCACTGCGCACAAAGAAACCGTTCGCGACTGTCGTTGCCGAGCTCATGCAGGACACTCAAGCACTCCAGGAAGCCGTGGCACGAGAGATCGTGCCGGACAAGCCAACCAAGAAGCCCTTCAAGCTCAATGGCGACAAGACGTTCGGCAAGGCCTTCGAAACGAGTGAGAAAGGAAAAGGGAAGGGCAAAGGCAAGGGCAAGTGGCGCCGCTTCGACGACAACCGGGACGCACGATGGCGACCCTACAACAACTCCGGAGCTGGTTATGGTTCGTGGAGTTCCTCTTGGCAGCAGCAGTGCCAACCAACTGGCTTCGGCTTCGGCGGCAACAACCAGTACGGCGCCTACTACCACCGACAGCAGCAGAACCAGGAGTAGGGACAGCGCGGGCCACCTACCCACGTGGGTGGACCCGGGGGCGTTTGCCAGGAGCAGAGCATCACCTTGAAACCCAGTGAAAGGTGGTTGGCTGAACAAGAGGCCGTGCAAAAGCAAAAGCGAGATCGCCCACGTTCACGGTCAGTTTTGAAGAGGATGCGCCGTGGAAAGGAGAGCGAGTTTGCAGGTGACAAGTACGACCTCATCCTCCTGAGCTTCTTCGATGGAATCGGTTCAGCGCTGCTCATCTGCGAGGACATATGTCGTCAGAAAAATTGGAAATGGCACGCTCTTGCTTGGGAGACGGATGAGGACCTCGTGAAGTTGACCACTCAGCGTTTCAAGAGCCTGGAGCACAGAGGGGACTTCGATCATGAGGACGTGAGCAAGGTCATAGGAAGACTGCAGCAGTTGGACCCACGCCACGAGTCCAAGATTGTGATCGCCGGAGGCCCGCCCTGTCATGACCATTCACGCATACGGCATAATGCTCCAGGAGCTCGAGGTGAAGAAGGATCCAAGGCCGTGCGCTTTGCAGAGTTCGTGCGCAAGCTCGAGGCAACCTGGGACTACCCGCAGGCCATCTTGGTTGTCGAGAATGTGGTGCCGCAGAACAAGCAGGACGTGCGAGTACTCGAGACCAAGCTCTCCGCGTCTGCCGTGGTGGCCGATGCAGCTGACTTCGGGGTCGTATCGCGGCCTCGTCTCTGGTGGACACGTGTCCCTTGGCAAGAGTTGTCCAACAGGCGCGATTGCCCGACCGGCGTCCGATGGTCGACGTACCAAGGGATTCCACGAGCAAGCTTCGACGTGACCAAGGACGACCTCAACGAATATGTGCTGGGGAATCTACAGTGGCCAAGCAACCTTGCGCTTGGCAAAACGTTGCCGTGCTTGACGACTCCTGCAGAAGATCCACGTGGACGAGAGGCTCCCAGAAGCTGTAAAGGACGCGTGGACTCCCAGACGGAAGCAAGGTGGCTGAATGACAATCGTCAATATGCGCCATGGCACTACGAGGACGGGAACCTGTTCGTGGAATCCACAACGAATTCGCTGGTGATTGCCCCGGCAGAAGTGAAAGAGCAGTTGCAGCACTTTCCCAGAGGTTGGACCGCTTCACTTCAAGATAAGCAGCGGCACCGCGCAGTAGCTAACGCGTGGCACATTGGGATAGCTAGATGGTTCTTCGTCCTCGGGATCTTTGCGGCAACACCTACTGGGACTTCTGCGTCACCGTGTCGGGGGCTTTCATTGTTGGGGCCAAGTGCTTTGGAGGGCATGGCGCGGCTTTGGGAGTCGGCGCCGTTGTTGACGGGACCTGGAGTTCCAGTACTTGCTGAAGCATTGGATCTCTCTGCCATCGAAGACGCAAACGAGCATTGGGCCGCTGCCGAGTTTGCCTTACACTCCGATCAATCTCAGCCTCTTCTCGAGCCAGGCCTAGCTCAATGGCTACCGTTGTGGTTGCATTGGAAGCCGTACTTAACAGAAATGAGACAGCAGGTGGCAGCCGACATCAAGGAGCTCGTGGAAAACATGCAGCCGGAAGTGGACGACTGGTTCAACAACCTGGAGCCTCATGTGCGGCTTGCGTATAGCTCAAAAACAGGTGCATGCACTGTCCAGGTCCCCGTCATCGCGAAGCTGGCTGGCATGTTTGGTTGGCAAGACGGTTCTCTGTTTCAGGAAATGACGAGCGGTTTCCCAGTTCTAGGGCGCATCAACCCGAGGCTGGGGTGGTGCCTTCGCAAAGACAACAAGTATAACGACCCGATCGACCTTGAGATGCTCCTCACAGACAACTTCCAATACGTGCAGCAGAAGTTGAAGCGAGCTAGGGTAGATCCCTTTTGGCAGGTCATGGCCGAAGAGATTGCAGCGGAGGTGAAAGCCGGCAGGATGGAAGGCCCTTTCGCGGCACCGTCGTCATGGAACAAGGCAACGGTTGCTTTACCAGACTACGCCCGCACAAGCGACCTCCTGCCGGCCCCAGCATGTCATGAGCACACCTGCTTTGCTTTTTCGGTTCAGCAGGTCGGATCAGACGGACGTCGCAAAGTCCGCCGAGCGGAAGATTGGAGACGCTCTGGCGGCAACAAAACCATCAATGTGCCGGACACGCCAGCCTACCACAGCATCGAGGCTTTCATCGCGGTCATACGGGCACTTCGACGGCAAGGACAGCACGGAGTCATAGCGACGTGGGGGCTGGATCACGAGTCGGCCTACCGTCAGCTTCCAGTACAGCGGCCCGATGACACATATGTTGTATTGCAAACGCCGAGGGGACCCACGTTATGGAGGCACCGGGTTCTGATGTTTGGTTCAGTGGCAAGCGTGTGGGGCTACTGTCGTGTAGCCGATTGGATTGCATGGGCTACTCGCTGCATGCTCCTGTCCCCGGCGCTTCACTTTGTAGATGACTTTGGTGCCTCGGAAACGCAGCAAGAAGCATGCGCCAGTTTTGTCAGCGTGCAAAGCGTGGGCTCTGATTTGGGCTTCCGTTTCAAGTCATCCAAAGCTCAGCCGCCGGCCCAGACTCAGCAACTACAAGGCGTGGAGTTGACAGCCTATCAGGACCACGTCTTGGTGCAGGCGACGAAGGAGAGGGTCACCCGCTTGGACAACCAGATCGCAGAGGCCCTTGTTGAAGACAGATTGACACCGTCGCAAGCAGCGACACTGGCTGGGAAACTACAGTTTGTGGCACAGTCATTGTTTGGGCAATCCAGCAGAGCGTCACTTCGCCCTCTACACCAACGAGCAGCTGCAGCGTACTACAAGTCGTCTCAGGTTGGATGGAAGCTCAGCCCTGGACTGAGAAGTGCACTTGAGTTCCTTCGTTTCGCACTTGCTACGCAAAAGCCACGGAAGATCCCGTTTGCAGCAGCGGATCGAGCCATCATCTATGCGGACGCCTTCTTCCAACTGAATGGCCAGGTGATCAAGATCGCAGATGCAGAGGCCGGCCATGATTGGGGCGACAGCAACCCGGCAGCCTTCTACAATGGCTTCGGCTTCGTGGTCAAAACCAAGCAACACACGTGGTATGCAGCTGGCAGCGTGCCGTACTGGTTCACGAGACATTTCTGTTCCAAGCGAGCATACATCTTCATTCTGGAAGCGATAGCGCAGATCCTGCCAGTCTTCGTGTTGAAGGCTCACTTGCCGAAGCAGCTTCTCATGTTCATGGACAACGAGCCTTCCCGACGAGCCCTCGTCAAGGGCTACGGCAAGGACATCAACGTGAACAAGTTGATGCAGGCGGCTTGGCGATTTTTCGAGGAGGAAGAGTTCCGGCCAGAGTGGCAACGCGTGGCTTCTTCAGCCAACATCAGCGACCAAGTGAGCCGCTTCGATTTCTCAGAAGCCGAACGACAAGGCTGGACTTGGCTGCAGCAGGATTGGGACGCCGTCTTTCATGCCCTACTGAGAGCCGTGCAGGAAGGTCCCCTCGCTGCCCATGCTAAGTCTGTGGGCTGAGGGCTTCAGGTGCGAATTCTATGGTTGAGGGCCGCAGTCGTCGCACCTTTGGGTGCACGAGGCCAGCAGCTTAGAAGTTGCGACCTCGTTGCGCCGCGCCTGCCTGCGACCAGTGTGCATTCATGTAAAAGGAAGGTCACGGGCGCGTGGAACTTGATGCTGTTAGGCTGCGGTGTAGGGAGCGTGTCTTGTAGTGCACGTGTGCACGTAATGACACGGCTGCGACCGCTTCCGCAGCCGCGCAAGCTAGGGTTGGGCAGGGGGGGTGCCTGCCTTTTGAAAGCCCACCCTCGCCACCCAATTCTTTTCCAAGCTTCGAAGACGTCTAGCAGGTGGGGTGCACGAGGCCAGCAGCTTAGAAGTTGCGACCTCGTTGCGCCGCCTGCCTGCGACCAGTGTGCATTCATGTAAAAGGAAGGTCACGGGCGCGTGGAACTTGATGCTGTTAGGCTGCGGTGTAGGGAGCGTGTCAAGTTGAGCTTACTGATCTACCTCCAACAAGGAGGTCAACCTACGGACGCCGATGTTGGCATCCGCCTGTGTGCCGGAGCTCTCTAGGAGTGTCAGTAAGGGGTAGCTGACTCGTACGTCAGATGAGCATCATCGCCGGGAACATGCCATTAGTTTCACGGGTTGTCAGGGGAGTCTTCAACTTGGAAGGCTACAGGGAACCTCTGCTAAGTATCTGCCTTTCTTTCTTGCCCAGCAAGGGCAGAAGTCACCAAAAGTGGACTGAGCAATCTGGAACCTTTCTGACGGCCCCGCTTGTCCAGCCAGCTGCCTCTAATGCAGCCATGGCTGCAAGAGAGGTCCAGAGTGACTGCATCCATGGTTGTGGAGAGCAGCCAGCTTTTCTCGATCAGCCGGAGCAAAAAGCTGGGCTCGCTAGTCAGCTAGTCCACGTGACAGTTTGGCGATGGTGTATCTACGCACCTGTCTTGTGGCATATTGCCAAACCCAAGGATCGAATTCCCAGACGGACATGACGACGAAGGTAGCATCCTCTCAAGGCCATGTGAACTGAAAAGCTCCGTAGCATTAATCGAAAACAGCTGTGGCCGGTGCAGTTCGTCAGTGTGAAGAAAGCTTGTCGGAAGTACTCCAGCCATCTGTGAATTCCCGTTTCATAGCTTTCTGAACACAATTTCTCTACGCAGGGATGCAGATGTACCGCTGGAGGACGCGCTGTTGCCTGTAGCTTCGTTTCTCAAATCCGCAGCCGCGGCCGCTGCTACGGTGTCCTGCGCGAGGATTATATGGCCGAGCTGCACAAGCACAGGCCACTTCCGGTACAATCTGCCCGAGACGATCGATGGCCAACACCATGAAGCGACATGATGCTGGAAACGTCGGATGTGTTTCCGCAGTTTCACAACGACATCACTTCTTTCGAACGACTTGCTTGGATGCATTCCTGATTGTGCATCGCCGTGTCAGGTTGGCGACTCCCGGCGCGATAGATGCACCGAGAGTACTTGCAGGAGAACGGCCTTCGGTTCCAAGTCTTCTCAATCGCAGTGCCTGGTTCTTGACCAGGCCAGCGGCGGAAACATGATTGTCTCGGCAACAAGCTGACAAGGCGGCGTCAGGATTGTCCTCGGCACGACTCTTTGCCTGATTACGAAGTAGAACCCGTCAATTATAGCCATGAGACTAGACGGAATTGTTGCTTGAGGAACAGCTGAAGGAACTCCTGCCACATCTTCCGCCGGACCCGCCAAGACTGAGCAGGCGAGCAGACGCGAGTGTCAGTGTAGGTGAGTGCAATCGAGCGTCGAGCGCGGGATCGGCGCCGGGAGAAGCTCAGGTCGGTGCGGAGGGCTCGGGCTGAACTTGCAGCGCAGCACTCTGAGAGGGAGCGCCTCAAGGCCGGGACTGGGACGCTGGCACCCACTGAGCCTCGCTGAAAAAAGTTTGTGGGCTTTTGCCTCAGGTGGAAGAGCAGAGGCGCGAGGCCCGGCGCCGGCTTTGCCTCTGTCGATTCCGAGCCATCGGCACCACGGCAGCAAAGCGTACACAGTGTCTTTCTGTCCTGCGCCCTTGGCATGGCCAAGGCTTCGCCGTTCTTCGACGCTTGGCACAATCGGCACCGGCACTGTTTGATGCCTTCGCACTATCTCAGCTTGACTCGTGCCTGGGTGGGGTGGCAGTCAGTACGATTCAGTAAGTATACATTTGCGCTTCTTTAGCATGGCCGACAGGCTCTGTTGTCGACTTTCTCCAGCTCTTGTGCCTCAGTTTTATCCAATCAGCCACGCCAAAGGGATTTTCCTTCATCCCGGGCCACGTGGGCTCTGTCGAGTCTTCAGCTCCAGGCCTTCGTCTCTTTTCGCTAAAGCCAAACTCAGTTTCCCCGTCTGGGCTGTATTAGCATATAGTATGGGTGTCCCGTGCTCATCTTGACCTTCCGTCGCTAAAGTGCGTGCAGGGACATGCTATGAGGCTCCTGAGGCTCCTCGGTGTTGTTGTAAGGAATCGCGGGAATTGCCGTAATCTCACCACAATCCCGTGTGTAAGTTGCTTGCTCTGTGCGAGGACGGCTTCGAGACGAGGACGAAGAGTTCTTGGAGCCACGAGCTTGGATTCGGAGTGTCGTTTCCCGAGCATTCCATGAGCGTTTACATCAACCGAGGGCGGTCCGAACAAATCCGGTGATGCCCATGACTCCCTGCACAAGTGAGGAGGCCCGTTGCACTGCGTTGCATGGCCCATTGCATGGTGTGTCGTCCCGCCTAGGGCTTGGAAGAAGCCGGCCCGGGACCGAAGCTCTTCGAACATCGTCTGAAACAGGCCCGGCGGTGCTGCCCTCAAGGGATGTGGACCAAATCCAAGGGGCGGCTGAGAGTCGAGAGATGTCGAGAGTCTTGGTGCAAAAGAATCGGGTGTGTAAGTTTGCAAACGAAAGACTGGGTTCCGTGTTTTGGAAGAATGCAGCCTGTGCTGGTTTGACTTCACACGATGATCAAAGCACTTGCTGCGAGTAGCGGCTGACCGCCAAGCGGAGTAGAGGGGAGCGGCCTGTGGGCCCGCTCGAGAGCCGACTTTTCGCCTTTTTTGCTTCCGACTTTTCGGCCGAAGAGCTTCGATGGAGCCAGGGGGCCAGCACGGCAGTCCTTGCAAAGTCGCAAGTGAGCACTGGAGCACTGCAAGGAGTAAGGGCTCTGATGCGAATCGGCAAAGGAAAGTTCGTAGTCCACGTTGTTCGTCTTTGGCAGGGTCTTCGGGTAGCCAAGGCGGAAAGCTTCGACATCCGGGCGGAATGCTCAGCGCGAAGAGCTCGCAACTCGAGGCCGGCCAGATCGTTTCCCGTCAAGTTTAGAGCACATGGAACAACCGGGACCTGTAGCATATGTGCTATGCCTGTCTTGGTTCCTGCAGCAGCCGACGGTGCCGGGCGTTCCTTCATGCTTGTGCCAGATTCAGCGGCAGACTGCGGTTTGAGCGGAGGCAATTTTCGAGCTGATTTCGTCGATGACTTGGTCATCAAGCCCCGCGTCGAAACGCAGCCGCTCCTGGCCTTCATGGATCAGGCAGAGTGATTCTCGCTCCGGGCGTGCACGGTTGCATATTTCATCGTGCAGGGAGAAGCTGCTGCCATCGTGCAGAAAGGTAGCAAAGCCAGCAAGTCCTCCAGGCGCGGCTTTGCAATCGCATGACTTCAATGTGTGCTGTGGCTGTCAACCTGACTGAGGCAGAAGGAAAGCTCCCCCGGAGCACGTGGTGCCGCTCCCGAAGAGGAGCGCAGAAGGGCAAGCTACAGCACGATGGCAGTCTTAGTGGCTTCTCTCCTCTGCCCGCGTCAGGGCCAGGAGTCCAAGGATGCCCAGAGTGATGCGAAGGCTCCAGGCTCGTTACTCTCTGTTTGCGATGGGTTCCTTGCTCCGACTTCGAGCAAGGACCTACCGCAGCCGCGAAGATCGCGGCCAGACGGGTGAAGCTGCAGCGCATGCTTGACGTTCTGGATCCAGGCACTTCAGGGCTGCGGATTCCTCCTTTCGTCGGGATGTAGAACCTTCGACTCGGGCACCAAGCTTCGATTTCAGCATCAGCCGATTCCAGGACCAGGCAGGTGCGATTCATTCACCAACAGAAGGTTCAAGCGCCTGCGAACAGTGGATGATGGCATCTACAGCCCCCTCATCAATGCTTTATCCCGGGTTGACCATATATGTAGAGTTTTGAAAATTTTGTGGAATTTATAGACATATACCTATATGCATAAAACTTCCTACGTATGTACATATGTATACTATATAAATATATGTATATATATATATATATATATATTTATTTTGCATATATACGTATATAAGTATATACATATATACGTATATAAGTATAGGTGTATATACGTATACATGTATATACGTATATATGTAAATATGTAAATATGTATATATGTATATAGGGAAATATGTATATAGGTGTATATGCATATATATATATATATACATATATATATATATATATACATATATATATATATACATATATATATATATATATATGTATTTTGCTGTATATGTGTAGATGCATAGATGCATATGTATGCGTATGTGTATATGTAAACAGACATGTAAGTATACATGCGCACATGGCATATGCACACACACACACGCACACAGATATTTATATATATATATATATGTATGTATGTATGTATCCCATGCCTAAGTAGTTGCATCATCTTGTCAAACCTCGTCTGACTTATCGAGCACGAGTGACAAAAATGTATATCTGTATACACAATGTATATATTAGGTATTCATATATATATATATATATGTATATATATATATATATATATATATAGATATGCACACGGCCCATGCATATAAATAATGTTAGAAAACATATGTACACCTCTGCATACATGCGTACATACATGCATACATACATACACCCATAAGAACATACATACGCATATATATATATATGTATATGTATATATATATATATATATATACACATATACATATGTACATAAATTATATGTATATATATATATACACTGCTACGCGTGCACACACACATGCACAGACATACGAATATGCGTACATGCATGCATCCATCAAGCATGTATGCACAGATACATACATACATACATACAAAAAAATACATAGATAAAAGAAAATATAGAAGAAAATTACATAATACATATACAGAGACACTTGATGATGGCACGGCAGAGAGAGATATACATATACACATGCATACATACATACATGCATACACAGAAGTATACATATGTATACATAGGTACAGACACACACGCACACGCACACACACACACATATATACATATATATATATATATATACACACTACTACGTAAATACATCTGAACATAGACATATTATGCATACATATGTATATATACGTATGTATACACATACTTTCAGGCATGCACGCGCACATGCAGGTAGGTGTGTATGTCTTTACATATACACATGTTTTCATACATGTGTATATATACATATATAAATATAAAAAGATGTGTATATATATATACATACATGTACGTATATATATATATATATATACATACATGTACGTCTCTCTCTCTCTCTCTGTATATATATACACACACTTGTATACATATATGTATATATACATATATGTATATATACATATATGTATATATATATATATATATATATATATAAGTATAAGAGATGCATGCGGACATACAGGCCAGATGGCCAGCGAAAGCTGTCTTTGAGACAACAGACCTCAGCAGGTGCAGCTGGCATACCTGGTCCCACCATGGTAGGGCGGATGTACGCGGCGCGATTTCGACAGCCCAGGAGTGAGAAGGTCTTCGCGAGGCAGGAGGGAAGCCTCCGGTGCGGGAATCCTATTGGCGCGCGAATCTGTGCTTGATTCGGGCTGGTGCACGAATCCTTGACGGATCAGCATGCGCGGATCGACCGTTCTGGTGCGCGAATTCGTCGGTGACCCCGATCCGAACGTTTTGCGTACAAGGGCGTTTCAGATGTGCATGATGTGCCTTAGTTGCAACGTGGTCGTGCAGGCTCGCAGATCGGATCCGTCGATGCAGATGTCATCGTCCCTCTGATGTTCTGGTGCCTCGGCTGCCCCTATTTACCTGATCTGTGATCTTCCGTCATGACCCATCGTGTGGTCACGTACCGATGCCGATGAATCAGGGCTAGGACGAATTGACCTCTCTTCTGTAATCTTGTGTCGAGACGGAGGCTCGGACTCACGAAGAGCCGTACAGCAGCTACGGAGACTCTCAGGCTGGGCATTCTGCTCGCGGATGTTCAGAGGCTATTGCTGTAGTGCTGCATGACCTACTGATGGTGCATGCTGCAAGCTGCAGGATGGGATTTGGTCAGTTGCAGATCGAGAACGGTACCCTGCTGGTTCTCGGTGACCATGTGGAAGTCCAGATGCGACTTGTGGAAGGGTGTCTTTGTTGCAGTCAGCGAGTGCATCATTGAAACTGTCAATGGGAATTTCTAGAGGCTCGCCAACGGCCAAGATAAACACATTTCATTTGTTGGCTATTGTGGCTGAAGACAACCCAAGCCCTACCTCAACCCTTCGAGAACGTGACATAATGCCAATGCCTCTAGCATAGCACGGCAAACATCGGATGCTCCCCCGCAGTGGATGGCAGAGAGATATGTTCGGTGAGTTGCCAGTTATTTCCTGGTAGTGGCCGATGCAATCTTGTTCAATGAGCTGGGCTGGTACTCCGGTGCCGACGCTGCTGCCGCATTTGCTGCAAAACCATTCACCGTTCTACTTCAAGTTGCACGTGCTCGAGCTATCGACGTCCATCGGTCAGATTTCTCTACAGTTGTGCATCGCCGGTCCTAGTGGCACTTCGACCAAAAGTGCCTCACACTTCCCAACTCATGAGAGCGGCCACACGCCCCTGCACAGACTCGCCAAGCCCTGCGGGAAGGTTACGGCACCTGGTTCGTCGAGACAGCACAGAACATATGTGCGAGTACCTTGCAGGCGGGCGATCTTGGTTAGCCTGTTCCGGTCAAGGTGTAGCCATGTGTAGCCTGAGTTTTTGCAGGAGTTACGAGAGGGGGTGGGGAAACTTGGGACTGCTGCTTTGCTGAACATGACTCGAACTCAGCGATGCATGTATAGCACAGAGGAGCTGCTTGGTGCCACTTGCTCTTGCAACGTCCATCAAGCGGGCGACTGCCAGGCAAAAGCTTCCAGAGACCACGCGCCTGGTTCAATTCTATGCGAGCTGACCCCATGGGCTGGGTGGACATCACTCAGGCACGAGCTGTCTGTGAGCCGGAAGTCACAGACAGCAGGCTTACGATGATGCAGGTGCAAAATCTGTTTGCACGCATGGAAGTGACCTCGGATCGGCAGACGCTCTTCCGATTCCTCAGCCCCGTGGACCAGCATGTCGTCGAGTCGTGTATCTGCATCTCGGTCCTTGTCACCGGTTTCACCGACGCCAAGGCTACATAATGGAGAATCCGTGTCCGTCCGTGGTGACTTGGCTGCTAGAAAGCTTCGTTTGTCTGAAGGGCGGGGGGCAGGCCAACAGAGCACACCGTGACGCCACAGTATGCCACAGTTCAGGCTGCCGACCACAGAGAGGCTGCCGCGATCGAGAGCAAGAAGTTCAGCTTCAACGGGTGCCTTGCCCGTTTCCGGGACCGTGATGTGATTGAACCTGAGTCTGCGTAGTCGAGGTTTCTGTCGCTTATCTGCCGCTGCACTACATCGTGGGTGCTTCACCGGGTCTTGCCCCTCGCTGAATTGCGCAGGGGTTCTTCATAGCTACCACTGCATCCATCTCCATTCGCACGGCAGACAGCACGTGTCAGACTGGCATGCTTGCTGCTTTCTTGCGGTATCTTGCGGTTTTTCACCATGACTCGACACAGAAACCGGTGTCCCAGCGAGGTCCGTGCTCATGGCCGAGTCATCTGGAGCGCTCGCGACGGATCTCGACATTGCCAACAGGCCAGTTCTGTTCGGGCGAAACTTCCGCCTGTGCAGAATGCATCCTGATGCTTGGACCTCCGAGAGCTGTTCGGATGCCAGTCAGGTGGATAGAACTCCAGCGGAGGATAATGCCGTCGGCTCACTTGCCACCCCTTTTTTCTTCAAGGAAGTGCGCGCACTCTCTTGTCTCCTGCCCCTCCGGGAGACCAAGGATCTCGCTGCTGGTGAATCATCGCTTCTGGGGCCGAGAGTCGCGACAAGTCCTGTCAGCTCTACAACCACCCATGATCTCTACTGCGATGGTCGAGGAGAGGCATTCCTGGTGAACGATCACTGTCCCAACATGGATTTCGAATCCTTCGGATTGCCTCCATGATCTCCTTACTATTACTAATTGAGCCAGCAAGGCCAAACCTCATAAGGACACAAACGTCGTTGTGCAGTCGGTGGCCAGACTCAACTCTTGATGTCTTCACCCGGAATATACTAGTCCGTTGTGAGCAGGGCAAACTCGAACCTGATTGGTACCGGCAGTTACTTGTTCGCAATTCGCCCCTGCCATTTCCGTGGCACGCAAAAGGGCAGTAGGAAGGCGGGCAAGGGATTCGTGTGAAATGTTACGGAGGCTCCGAGATGTGTAGATGAATCACATTACATAAGCTGCCGGAGACATGACTTGGGTCCAGTTCGTTTTTCGGAAGCTTTTACATAGTGGTTGTTGGCCAGCACCACCGTCTACATGCAGCAGGTGGTCAACACATCGCCAAAAGACCGGCCAGCGTGTCAGCTGCACGAATGCTTGGGTGGGGCAGACTTTCAGTACATCCCCCGTAGACGAGAAATCCCTGTGCTCCGTGACCCCCGCCTGCCCTCCTAAACGAGAGGGAATGCCAAGAAATGCAAGAGCACTTGGCTTGAAAAAGAGGCACCGTACCGCAGGCCAGTCGGATCATGCTTACATGTACAGGCTTCAAGCCCTGGGGCAAAAACGGAGGGGGCATTTACGACAGAAAGGGGCCGCAAAGTCGGAGCAGCGTTTTTTTGGGTTTGGGATGCATGGGCCCAAGAAACGACCTGGCCACCGAACGTGATGCATTGCCTTGCAAACAAAATGGTCCAAGCCAAAGCGTGCATGAGGCTTCGAAATTCGGGTGGATGGGAAACATATCCGTACAGGGCGCAGGGGTTGGCAGCAGCTGCCCAGGCCGGATGGTATCTGATGCAACAAGTCGAGGGTTCAAGGCCGAAACGTCTTCAGCTTCGGGTGGTGGCAGATCCACCGTGATGCTGTTGGAGTTTGGAAATGTTTGGAGATGTCGTCGAGTTGCGGGAGTGATGTCCTGGGTGGAAATCAATCCTCGCCGTGCAGAGTTTTCGTTGTACTTCGACCGTGACCGAAACGAGCAGAAAGTCCTTATCAGAAGCTGGCGTTGGCGAGGAGCTACAAGAGCTCAGCCAGGAGCAGTGTGCTTCCCAAGTCAAGGGCTGTCTACACACGAGGATCATGTCTCGGCATGGGCCAGCAGGGCAGAACAACGCCGCACTCGTTGAGGTGGAATGCGCTCTTCCAACGTGTTCGAGCGCAGGGTTTAGCTTCTGTGCTGCTGGGCTGCCTGAGCTGCTTCTAATCGGATTGTTATTGTTGCTGGAGCCTACCCGGACCTGCGAAGCTATGACGGGTGCTAAGGCTTCCCCAATATGACGGCGTGTGTCGCGACCGCATTTCCCATGAACTGTGCTGGAGCTGTTATGATCTATGAGGGTTAGCTGGATACACGAGGTGAGGGAAAAGCAGGCGGCGATCCGAGACGTTCAGGTGCCTGAGATCCAGAATAGGTCTCATTGTCCCGCCAAGAAAAAGGGGTGAATGTCGATTCGTGTGTTTGGTCGTGCATCAGCTTGACATCAAGTCTCTGATCAGACATGCCTACCCTGGACAGATGCGCAAACGACAGCCTCCGTTGTTTCAGATAGACAAGCAACCTGCAAGGCAAATTGCAGAACAACGTGCAGTGTTTGAAACAGATGGCACCCCTACAGCAAAATGCAGCTTCACTAGAATGCGGGAAGTCGCGCTGGAACTGTTGAGATTTAGATGCATTGTGCATGGGGATGCAGAGGGCACAGGGCTGCTCTCCTGGCGAGCAATGCAAAATTTATGCAGTGGACTTGTGCGGTGTAGCCGAGAGGCTCCAGGCAGTATCACAGAGCAGTCAGTTGTCATGGAAGGCCATCAAAAAGCACTCAGTCAGTTAGGCTCAACCTCACAGGATTGATCTCAACGGTATCCAGCTAGCTGTATAGTATTTTAAGATAACTTCTCGACCGTGCTCACAGACGGGTTTTGCATGTTGAGGGACGGCGATTCTGTGATCCATGTGGCGTGCGCTCCTTCTCGTGCCTGCTGCGGGTGCCCCTAGCGTGGCTTGCCCAGAGCTGCAGCAGGCCAGCTTGCAGGCCGGAGATGTTTCGGCGTAGACGCAGACCTTTGGAGGCTTTTGGTTTGTGGCTTGTGCATGGGGAACCCGATACGCATGCAGCCCTTGTCGTTGTTGGTCCACGCAGTGCATTGCCTTCCCCTGTCCGTGGAGGTGTGTGAAAGGTGCGTGCACGACGACCTTTGCTCGTGGCTTTGTTTGGAAGACTTCCTAGATGAGACCAAGTTATCTTAATATCTGAACTATTGTTGTCTTGATGGTTGCGACTCGGGTATCTTCAGCCGAGGGCGGGACTGTCATGTGACCCCTTCATGCAGAAATGCATCGAACCAGAGCCTCGCCTGCAGGAACTTTGGACAAGGCTGGGGTTAGAGATTCGTGACTGAGGCGTGGAATGCTTCAGAGGCTTTGGAAGCCTGTCCAGAGGACCGATTTGCTTCTGGAGGGTCAGGTCGTAACCTGAGTCTTCAGGGTACAGAAGGTCTCTCGCAATTCGGTTGGAGTGCAGAGCCTGAGCAATGTCAGGGTCTTTGTCTTCTTGACACCTCGCTCCTCGCGTTGGATCTGTGCGCTTTGTTGGAAGGGCGGCACTCAACGCAGGACCCGGGGCGGCCCGAAACCTGGGCCGCGCAGTGCAAGCTATCCTGTTCTGACCAGCAGGCGCATCCATTGGCCATTGCGTCCGTTTGCCAACTCCGGTTTTGGGCAGATCTCAGACATGCGCGTCCTCCTTGCTCCGTGCAGCTAGTCGCAGGGACTAGTGGTGCCACGCGACGTTCATGGTGTGGTGGTGCCAGCTTTCTAGATTCTAGATGTGTATACGGATCGTACCCCAAAGTCGTCTCGTACTTATTCACAGTTTACGTTGACACATATCCATTCAGACAGCCTGAGCTTTGAGCATCTCGATTTGCACTTGTCTATGGTCCGCGCGCTTTGCGCCCTTCTCTCATGCCTGGCACTGGCATGCGATGCAGCAGAAGAGCTCCCCACTGAGAATTCGACCTTGAAGTTGTGGCCCGTCTTGAAGGCTTGTATTCGGTTGTGCTCGATTAGGTGGACAGACACCGCACCTGCGGTTCGGTTGCTGTGTGATGCTGAGGACGTGTTTCGGCTGGCGGTTGGAGCAACCAGAGCTCATCGTTACAAACTCCGGGGCCTTCCTGAATGGAGTTGCGATCAGTGATGATCAGCTGCGGAGTATCCACGAGGTTTCAAACGATCTCATCGTGACCGATGACAAAGTTCTCACAAACTTGGACATGCTGGCAGGGATTGAACGAGTTGGTGGCAATGTGGAGATCCGCTACAACTCAGTCCTTCAGGATTTCTCAGGTTTGTCAGGCCTGCAAAGCGTTGGTGGTTCGGTGAATATTATCGGCAACAGAGGCGTTCAAAATCTGGCGGGCTTCGCCGACTTAAAGGTTATCGGAAGGTTTTTGAGGGTGCATCACAATGAGCGGCTGGAACTACTTGGGGGGTTTGATTCGCTGACTCGTGTCGGCAGAGATCTTTCCATTCGTGGAAATAGTAGGCTGCAGAGCATGCCACGAGGCTTGTCTGCATCTGACTCTGTTCTTTCAATTGCATGCTTGGATTGCAGCTTTCGTCTTGTAGATGCGCTGTCGTTATTCCGTTATTGTTTCTGTGGCCTGAGCTGCGGCAATATTCTGAGCAGACGGGCTGGCACGCGGGTTTCGTTTTGTTTGGGGAGAGCTGAGAGAGACTGCAGCTTTAAGGAATGCCCCAGCTCAAGATGGTTGACGGCAAGGTGGAGGCGGCGGATTTCATTGCCGGGACTTGAGTCCCCGCTTATCAGTGCCAGTATTACACTATCGCATCTGTAAGTTGAATACCGTAGTGTGACATTGCGTGATTCACTCGATACGGAGACAGGAGTCAGCCATGGTGCATCTTTCAAACAAGAAGCCTAGCAATGGGCGCTGCGCGGGGCGGGGTTCGGCCATGAGCATCGACTGTGTGCAAAAGTCGAGGTGGTGTTCAACAGAGCCATGAGTGCGGCTTATGGAATGGAGTCCCTCGAGTTTATCGGAGGGAACCTGGCGATCAAGGAGTGAAGCTGGCTTTCGCATGTAGCCTCACGGTCTCACAGTCTTTGACTTACGTCGAGTCCACCCCTGAGGACAACGATAACCTGACCAACATGACCATGCTGCCCGCTGTTCGGGAGATCGTTGGCAAGTTCGAAGTGAGCTACAATCAGGCCCTGCTGGAGGCTCGCCATAGCACGTGCTGCTCTGCCCACTACTGCAGCTGAGTGGTTTGATGCCAGGTTGGTGGACTTGAGAACCTTACTCAGAACCTGAGCCTGCAGTGAGTGAAGGGGTTGTCAGCGGCAGCATCGATGCCGAAGTCGTCGCCGTGGCATGTTGTTAAAATCATGTTGCAGCTTTTTGTCCGTCAGATGCAAAAACAAGTGGCAACTCGCACCACCACCGAAGTCAGGGAAGGCGACCCGAAAAGAGCCCGCTTTGGGAGTGCTGGTGACGAAGACCGGTCGAGAGATGTAGCCATTGAGCGCAGCTCGAGGTGGCAAGGCAACCTTGGGTCTGCGCGAGGAAGAAGCCACAAACTCTCCCGACAAACTTTGCTTGTTTAGTTTTCTCCCATGAGTCGCATTGATGTCGCACACTGCATCGGGACTAAGTTCGGAGTGCCGGCAGACGCTGACAGTGTGTCCGTCGACAGGGATGGATGCCGTGCATGTCGGCAAAAGCAAAGCCTCGGATCAAGTGTTCCAGTGGACATAACGAAGGAAGCTGCGCGACCAGGAGCATCGAAAGAATGGACATCAATCATGAAATGAGGCCCGAAATGATAGTATCACGTCAACTGCCCAGCGACGCAGTGATATGGGTTTGAATTGGGTGGGCTAGGTCTGGGCTAGGGATCGGAAAGATTCGATGCCATCCCAAAGGTGAAGATTGAACTTGACATGCAGGAAGATGCAAAGTATCAGGGTATGTTAGGTCGGACTTAGCATATCGAGTTGAGTTGCGATGAATATGTATTTCGGGTACCGCTTGAATCTAGCACTCGCGCAGGGGTCCGAGTGCACAGGCCATAAACCAGTCAATCCATGATGTACTGTAATGGCAGTAGCGTGGGATGTGGGTTGCCCGGAAGTGTTCGTTTGTGTTGGCTTGTCCTGTCTCAGGATTGGCAGCTTGGCCGTGGTCAGCAACCCGTCGCTCAAGACCGCCGACTTTGCAAACTTATCAGTTGTTCATGGTGCGGCTGAGGTCATGTATAACGAGGGGTTGCAGGAACTGGGCCTCAGGAAGCTTGTATCAGTGGGGGTGACTTTAGGAGATGACAAAGACGACGAACCAACTCACTTCAAGCTCAACGACAACGACAACATGACACAAGTCGAGTTGCCCAGCCTTGTGTCTATCGCCAATCTGGAAGTACGTTGGAATGCGCAACTGAAGCACGTCTCGACGACGGTGGCGTCCACCCACAGTATTATTATCGAGGCAAACTACCTTCTGCAAGAGATCCTGATGCCCAACGTCACAGAGATCAATGGTGAGCTTCGTTTGGCTTTCAACGCAGTCATTCCTGACATCTCCAGCTTCGACTCGCTAAAGCTGGTCAAGGGTGACATTAACATTCAAGAGAACAAAGCCTTGGAGGACAGGGTACCGGTCTCAGTATGGCAGCGCGTCGGTCTCGAAACACAGGGCATACGGTCGAGTTTCTGAGTGTTATGCCCCTTGTGCTATAAAGAAGACTGAAGCCATTTGGGCTCAGGGATAGAACCACCATTAAGCATATGTGGCATGGACCTTTAGGGTCTGTCAATTCCTGCCAGGAACATTGGAGCACATCGCTGGACACCGTGGCTTCTCGGCCCGAATGCAGAGGAGGGTGCTTGAGCGAAAAGCGCTGCACTGTTCTGTGTGCACTTTAGAGATTCTTCCCTGAGTTAACCTCGTGAGTAACTCCCAGGGCGGGGGATCAACATTGATCTCTTAACCCTGGTAGCGGAGCATCTGGCGTAGACCGGGTGCTCCAAGCCAGCCTGCAATGCCGCCGAAGCTTGCGACAACGTCCAGTGGATCTCCTGCAGCAGGCGGTCCCGAAACCACCGCCATCACTGGGAAAGCTGACCAATACGTGCCAACCTTTGATGGGGTCCAGCGTCACTACAAGGAATTCCGCAAGAGATGTGAAATTTACCATAAGAAGATGACGCTGGCCGGCAGGGGCAAAGAGACGATCTTCAACATTGTCACGCTTCTGCAGGGGAAAGCCTGGGATTTGATCGACGACATAAGTGTGGACACCCTGCAAGAGGAGAATGGGTACCAGGTGGTGTTTGATCGCCTGGATAAGGGCTTCAAATTTGATGCCCTTACCGAGCTGCCCGAGGACTTCGAGACCTTCTTTGTGCGCCTGCAGCGGCGCAGCTCTCAGACCTTGCAGGAGTATGCCGCCGAGTTCAGCCGTGCCGAGCGACAGTTAAAGGTGACGCACCAGGTCGACCTCCCTGAGAAGGTCAAGGCCTGGTGGTTTCTGCGAAAGTCTGGGATCTCCAAGGAGCAGAGGCAGCTGATCCTGACCAACATTGGATCGGATGGCCTCAGCATGGAAGCCACCCAGAAGGCGATGAACTTCATCCTTGGACAAGACTCCAGAGTCGACTGGAAGAACAAGTACAGTGGAAAATCCGAGGCTTTCGTGCAGTACGACGAGGACATTTACGATGACTGGCCCAATGAAGGGCCAGAGGAAACGTACTGGCAGGAGGGCGAGGAGATGGATGCTCCATGGCCTGACTTCGACCAGGACTACTATGACGACGGCGACGGCGACACTACTGGTGACATCTTCGACGTGGACGAGTTTGATGAGATCTTTGCAAGCTACTCCGATGCCAAGGCGAGATTGAACTCGATGAGGGTGGCCAGAGGATTCTATCCCGTGGTCGCCATGGTCGGGAAGGACGCCTTTGGAAGCTCGTCGCCAAGTTCCTCGCCCAGCCGTGGTGGAAAGAAAGGCCGCGGCAAAGCCAACAAGGGGCGAAAAGGGTCTGGGAAGCAACGGCCAGTTGCACCCAAGGGCAGCACAGCCAAGGGTCGTGGTCAAACCGTTGGCCGCCAGCTGTGCTTGCGCTGTGGACAAGCTGGCCACTGGGCCCGCAACTGTCCGACGGCCCCAAATGATGCCAAGAAGCGAAAGGTCGACAATGGCGACCCCCAGGAGGAGATCATGATGGTCTGTGATGCGGGAGCTGAGGTGTATGCGATGGATGGATGCGACGGAGAAGAAGATGAACCTCTGCGCTTTGCCGTGCAAGATGGGGGAGCTTCCTCAGTGTTGGGAAGCTACCACAACGTGCGCCGCTACATCCTGTACCTCCTGGAGAAGGGCTTCGATGTCACGAGCATCCGGGCCTTTAAGTGTGAGAAAGGGTTTCGCTACGGCAACTCGGAGACGGAAACCACCAACGACTGTGTGCTCCTACCAGTGACCTTTGGTGGCAAGAAGCTGCTGATCCTCACATACTTGATCCAAGGATCGGCGCCCATCCTTTTCGGGCGTCCTCTACTTCGACGTTTGGGGATCTCTGTGGACTATGGAGCTCAGACCATGAAGTGGCCAGGATGTGCCTGGCAGCCCATTCCTTTGGGCCCAAAGGGAGAGCATCAGCTGGAACTCGTGGAAGATGTGTCCCTGCTTCTGAATGACAAGGAGCCAGACGAGATCCTGATGCCCACCGACTACGAGACCCACATTGACGTCGAGCATGCCGCGCCGATCGACGTGATCCTCCACATGACGGACGTGAGCGAGGTGAGCAGGCAAGGGCTAGAGGCAAGCACCAATGACCGCGATCCAGGGGCAGACGGCAACGGGGATGCACACCCCAACGGCAACCAGGATGACATCGTGCGCGGCGGCCTCCCTGACAATGAAGGCGCCCTTGAGGATGACCTGGTTGCGAGCGCTGTTGCCAAGGACGTGACTGCCAATGACGCGACAAAGACGCCAGACTCCGACACTTACCCCTTCGTCAAGGAGATCGACAAGAGCGACAAGCCAAAGCTGACGACAGTGACGACGGAGACGGACAAAGACGACGAGCCAAAGCTGACGACAGTGACGACGGAGACGGACAAAGACGACCCTGGTCGGATGTATGAGGATGCCAAGGTCCGTACCCTGACGAAGGGCAAGCTGCACAGCCTGATCCATTATGCGACCGAGGCCCAAAAGAAGCAAAAGCGACTCCTGTCCCAAGCCAAGCAGTACAGCCGAGAATCCAAGATCATATGGGAAGTCTCGGCAGGAGGTGGTCGCACAACCAAGGAAGCAAGACGCCGTGGAGCGAACGCCACCATCTTCAACAAGGAGACCGGCTGGGACTTTGAGAGAGCGAAGGACAGGAAGCGATTCTTACGACGGCTTCAAGAAGAGTGTCCTGATGAAGTTCTCCTCTCTCCATCCTGCCGGCTGTGGTCCCCACACGTGGAGGCCATCATTGCAGACCACCCCGAGAAGCGGCCCAAGCTCTTTGCGGACCGGAAGGCCAATCACGATGAAGTTCTGACGTTCGTGGCCCTGGTGTTTGGGATGCAGTATCGCGAGGGACGCCATGCACACATTCAGCATCCCTGGTCAAGCCGAGCCTGGATGACCCGAGCCTTTTCTAAGATCAAGGGGTTCCAGGCGTATGTGGACCAGTGCCAATATGGACTTCGACTTCCAGGGCATGATGGCACCCAGGGCTTTGTGAAGAAGCCCACTTGCTTTGTGAGCACCAAGGAGACCTTTGCAAAAGGGTTGCCAAGGAGATGTTCTGGGAAGCACCAGCATGCGCGCACCGATGGAGCCGCGGCGAATCATGTCCAGACCGATGCTGATGCTGTGGATTTTCCTGTCCCGCTGGCTGAGAAGCTGGCAGACCTGATGATGGAGGAAGATGAGATGCTGGCGGCGAGCGATGTGGAGCCAGCGGAGATGGAGCCATCGGGTCCAAAGTGTGACGACGACGACCTTGCCGAGAATGTCAAGAAGAACCAACGGCTGCGAGCGAAGGTGGGACGACAAGCGTTCAACTACATTGCCCGCCTCCACAAGAACCTTGGTCATCCATCGGCCCAGGTTATGCTTCGAATGCTGGAGGAGGTTCAAGCTACCGAGGCAGTGAAGGAAGCGGCTCGTGAATACGTGTGCCCGCTCTGCTATGCTCGACGGCCTCCTTCTGGCGTGCCTCCTGCCTCGGGACTACCTGCGCGGCACTTCAATGATCGTGTGATGGCTGACTCAGCTTGGGTGGACACCAAAGACGGCCGGAAGTGCGTGCTCACTCTTATGTGCCAGGCCACTCGATTTGTGTCCATTCGAATCCTCCACTCTGAGAAGGCTACTGAGTTCGTAAAGGGCATTGAGCGGTCGTGGGTTAAGCACTTTGGGGTTCCAAAATTTCTCAGGGTCGACGAAGCAAAGGGCTGGTCCTCTACGCATGTTCGCGAGTGGTGCGCTGATCACGGCATCACATTGGAGGTGGCCCCAGCCGAAGCTCACTCGTGGCTGGGAGCATGTGAGCGCCGCCATCAAGTTGTTCGCAGAGCGCTGGAGCTGTACATGGATTCAAAGGGCGAGCGAACTGCAAAGAGTTTGGCGGAAGCGGCGATCTATGTGCCCAACCAGATCAACAACCTCTCCTTTGTGAAGGGCTTTACTCCGAGCCAGTGGGTGATGGGCAAAACTCCTATGCAATCGGCATCTCTGACGGCGGACTTCTTCAACCCGGGACAGGATGCCATCGATGAGGACACCTCCTTTGCCACTGTGGAACGCCGACGCCTCGAGGCCCGCTTGGCCTTTATGCGTGCCGACACTGATGCTCGCCTTCGCAGGGCTATGAATGCCAACTTCAAGCAAGACAAGGATGCCACTCCAGAGGTTGGACAAAAGTGCTGGTTCTGGCGGGTGCAGGGCACCGGCATTCTACAGAAGAATAAGTGGCGTGGACCGGCGCGAGTGGTTGCTCATGAACGCAATGATGATGGCAAGGTGATTGTGGTGTGGGTGACGCATGGCACTCACCTCATTCGGTGCTCACCGCACCAAGTCAGGCCGTTGGTGGAGGAGACCGGCACCAACCCTGTGGCGGATCCTGCCGCTGCTTTGGCTGATCTTCAAGATTCAAGACCTCCGTGCCCGGTCAACCACGCAGTTTCGTGATGTATACAACGACGACGGCCCCGAGCTTCACGACATGATCGGCGAGGACCTGGACGACTTGGCGGAGTACGAGCCCAGTCTTCCTGACGCCGAGCTTCCTCAAGTAATCAATGACAGTGACGCTGATGCTGAAGATGCGCACATGGATCCTGTGGTTCCTGGTGCGGTTCTCTCCTTTCAGCGCCACCTTGAGGAGCAGCGCGGCCAGCGGCGCCGCATGAGCGAAGCCTCCACTGCTGCTCCTGATCTACCGGGAGCTGCTACTCATGGCCCGCCCGCCTCACCCAAGCGCGCCCGTGTGGGCCCCGCGCCTTCTGCCCCGGCTTCTTCGTCTTCGGCACCTCCTTTCCCCCCGGATGCGGTGACTGCCAGTCCCTTTTCAGTGCCAGTGCCCGAGGAGGACGATGACCTTTGTGTGGACAATGTCTACATTGCCGAT